AACAATCCTCACCCTCAATACAACGCTACAAAGCAACAGTCATAACTGTATCCATCCTATTAGGCTTTATTACATCAACATCTGCAGATCCAGAGGGGTGGTGCAAGGGTACACCCTCACACCACTTTGAAGCAAAGAAAATATTATTTATATATTTATAAAATTTGGAAGTTTTTAGATGTGATGTGTAAACCAGTAACAACACCACATTACACTTGCTCATTGGGTTATTAGAAAGTAGACACAATTTACGGATAACGGCATAGATCCTTAGATCTTGCTTGACAACAGTATAAGGGTCTATACCTTACCATCGGTATAATAGTATTCTATAGAAGTTGTCATCCATCAACTTCAAAAGAATGCTTATCAACGAATTCATTGCGGAATTGTTTTTCAACAAACTACCATTGACTTAACTACCAGTGAGTGAGCGAGTGAGTTTAATCGTATTCCAGTCATATCACGTCATGTTAGCTTAATAGTGAGTGAGTTGGGCTTAACGCCGCTTTAACAATATTCCAGTTATATCGCGGCGTGTCAGCTTAATGTGGGAGGAAAGCCCGAAGTGGTGCAGGTCTCAGACATTTACCACTTTGGTGAAACCTACAAGCACGGGTATGGTGCTGACAAACCTAGAAACATTATCGGGGCCAATCGGGATTTGAACCCACAAACATAGGTTTCTGGGTTGCCCAAGGGACGCAACTCTGCACAGTGAATCGCGGCACCTTAGACGACTGGGCCACCCGTGACCCCAACTTTACTACCAAATATGAAATGTTTCATCGATTATTTGCATTGTTCTAGTATTTGTATGTGGTCACAAAATGTGTCCCTCCTTTTCTAAGCCCCATCTGCTTGTATGAAGCCTTGGGTTGTGTATTCCTTGGACACATCTTCCCAAGGCAAGGGAGTTAACTGACTTTGAAAGTAAGATAACTGGTCTTTTAAACTCAGTTAACTCCCTTGCCTCGGGAAGATGACCTTGACACGTATCCCACATTTAAGTCTCATGGTGAACACAAAACATGAAAACAAAGGTCATGACCAACCACAAAGATGACAGGTTTATTATTGTCTAACAGAAATACCTGGAAGCACATGGACATGATTCTGCTGATTCCAAGAACAATCTGTGATATGTGACGTCACACAAACTGATATCCTCACACAGACGCGCAGACCCATGATGAAATACACTTCTCCAGAACACAACTGACAGCTCAAGAGGCAGATGATACATTAAACAACCTTGATGAAAGACAATCATAAGAATTGATTCAATACTGAAACCCAATCCAAGAATGCTCTCTGAATATCTCTCACATCCAATGATAAGACCTCCCTATTGCTTTATGGACAGTCACACAACAGGCTTATTGATGTCAAAGGTTACAACAAAAACATGAATAGAATGCACAACACACCTGGCACATAGTGATTTCATAGACATATATTTAAACACAAATATGTAAATGTTCAACAAACAGACATGTTCCAAATCCCTATGATCCAGAGCAGGAAGAAATGATAATGACAACAGATTTGTGCCCTGCCAGAGTTGTTCCCCTTGAATCAAACATGGCAGAGCGGAGAATTACGTGTTCCATGCTACCACTTGTGCTGCCAAATCTTGTAAATAACAGAAAACAATTTCAAAACTTTCTTCCCAATTTTGAAACTATGTTGCTAATTCTAAAGAGCCAAAATGTCCCCTCGCCATATTTCATCCTTCATACGATTCCACAACATAAACGTAGAAATATCTAAAGGTTACAAGGCTTTATTCTTTAAGAAATTTGCAATGCTACGCAATCCTTAACATGGAAGGTCTTCGCAGACAAAGTATAATAAATCTGAGCTTCATCAAAGGACAATATAACAAACAATCCTGCAATGCCTGATAGGCATTTATAACATGAAATACAAATGGGTTTTATAAAACAAATATAGATCTATATATATTAGATAAAATGCAATCTTCTAATATTTGATTAAAATGAATCTGATAGCTATGATTGTTAAAATATAATATACTAACTGGTGAGTGAAAAGATCACTGTAAACAATGAATCTAAAAGCTACGATTGTTAAACTAGAATATATCAACAGGTGAGTAATATGATCACTGTATGTACTGCGAGACCCGCACATTACTCCACTAATAAATAACAAGCACAGCTTGGAAGAAGACCGATGTCACAAATGGGCAGACAGAGCCCCTCTCTGACAGATAATCGTTCCGAGAACACAGACCACACATAGGTGCTACAGTGCTCTGACTCTTGATGGGGTCAGCTTGTGGGTTCAGGTTGAAGGTGAGGTAATGGTGTCGGTAAGGTGGTGGGGTAGGAAAGGTAGTGGGGTCGAATGCTGTGTGATATGAAGGAGTCATAGAAATCAGGCAAGTCATCTGGCACTAGCATTTTTCTTACCAACAACTACCAAAGTGGAGCTACATACTTGTTTTTATTTTGGCATTGGTTACATTTTCCCTGTGAAAGGTTTCATACAAACAAAGGCAACAAAACCCTTTTCTATAATCATAATAAATCTCCAGTGTCCACTGTAAGATTCTGACATACCATGAGCATGTGTTAATGGATCACTATGAATTTGTGATGGTTCCAAGTGTTTGCGAAAAGGTGAATGTATTCTGCTCCACCTATGGCACCCATCATAAACACATGCAGAGGCAAGTCAACTGTAAAAACATGGTCATGTTGGTACAAGTCAAAATCAGTGATTGCAATGGACATAATTTTTGACATTCATGCATTAAATTTGGAAATGTAGTCCACATGTCCAGTATGAAGCCTTTCAAGAGAAATCCTAAGACCTTGAATGTTGTCTCTGTCAGAGGGGACTCTCGGTTTGGCCATTTGGGCAAAAGCATTTTTCAAGTTAGTTCACTTGTATATCTGTACTAAATATGTCTCATATAGTATTCAAATCAGAGAAAGGCTAAATAATACAAAATATACTGTTAACTTGTTCAAAAGTGATGTAAATTTGATTTTCATATTCCGATAAATAATTATTTTGTATAAACACTGATTGTTTTAGACTTCATGTGACAAGATAATGTTTTTAGTAGCACATTCCAGTGATTAGCATTTTTTGTCTTAAAATCAAACTGATCCCAAGTGGTTCTGTATGTCAACTGGTGATTGTAGAGTGAGTGAGTGAGTGAGTGAGTGAGTGCGTGCGTGCGTGAGTGAGTGAGTGAGTGAGTGAGTGAGTGAGTGAGTGAGTTGGGTTTAACGCCGCTTATAACAGTATTCCAGTTCTATCACGGCATGACAGCTTAATGTGTGAGGAAAGCCCAAAGTGACGCAGGTCTCAGACGTTTACCACTTCGGGGAAACCCACGAGCACAGGTATGGTGCTGACAAACCTAGAAACAAAATTGGGGCGAACCGGGATTCAAATCCCAAAATCATAGGTTTCTGGCGTGCCCAAGGGATGCAACTCTGCACAGTGAATCACCGCACCTTAGACGACTGGGCCACCTGTGCCCCCAATTGTATAGTGGGATTAGTGTACCCTTGTCAAACAACATGCATACAAACCCTTGCACCTTGAAGTGATGTGTATGCTGATGCATTAAATAACATTAGTTGGCTTATCTTGCAACAAACCACCAAGAAAGAAATTAAGTTGAAAATAAAAAATCTGCTTCTCAAGTCAATGAAGCCTCTGCATTACCTCATATTTAACATTTTTTTTGTCAAATATTTCTTTGGTTATAACCAGAAAAATGTATTTGAACCCTTGGCTTACATGGTTTGGAAAGAACTGAACCAGAATTGGCTAACAGCCAATGGTTTGGAACAAACTGAACCAGAATTGGCTAAAAGTCAATGGTTTGGAACAAACTGAACCAGAATTGGCTAAAAGTCAATGGTTTCGGACATACTGAACCAGAATTGGCTAAAAGTCTATGGTTTTGAACGAAGTGAACCAGATTTGCTGACATCTCTGGTTTGGAAGAAACTGAACCAGATTTGGCTGTAGTTGTTACTGGTGCAACACTAGGCAAAGAAAAGGAACCCCCTGATAGTATCAAACACCAAAGCTCTATTCACCAGACATTGGTTAGAAACGAGCTCCACCAGTCAGAAACATAGCACCAGTGTTGGTCCAACAGGTAACACGTTCCATGACACGACCTCATCTGTAACAGTGACACTGATTAGTAGCCAACCAGTTGAATCGCCCCAAACACAATCAAAATGATAAACTGATTGGTCATTGTGAGTGCAGAGAATTGTCACTGATTTATCGTGTATAAAGTACCAATGTAAACAATGGGGAGATAATGATAATTTGTAAAATAAACAAGGATCTATAAAAACATAATGATACAATAGTACCCTGACAAAAAGATAAAAACTTTTGGGAAGCAGAACTAAATCAAACTTGTAAAATACAGCTTACATATGAACTAACAGATAATACTTGGAATGTATGTATATATGTCTAGAGCTAGATGCACACAGGGGACCACAGTAATGAGTACAAACAACAAGTACTTGATTAGTCACATAAAACAATACTTCAGACAGCCAAGGGCCATCTTCCCGAGGCAAGAGAGTAAACTGACTTTAAAAGTCCAGTTTCCACCCTTGCCGAACAAGGCTGGAATTACTGGACTCGATCGTAGCGCCACCAGTGGCTATTACCAGTTATGTCCTTTCTATGCCTCTCCTATGGACCAATGAGATTCCACCCCTCGTATCACTTGCGTTTGCTTCACACAAAATGGTGGCGCCCAGTCAGGACGATCTGTTCGATAGACAAGATCTATACTGTGATAAAACGGGTCTTACATCCCGAAATGCATCAAATCACGTGAGCACCTTGATTAAAAACATGGCTTTGCATATCCTGCAATCGATCGAAATCTGCATCGACAGTTTACGAACAGGATTTCGATTTTGATGCGCGATTTTGATTGGACTATGCATAGACTCGTCAGTCCAGCCAAAATGTAACTCCATAATACCAGCCTAGTTCGGCAAGGGTGGAAACTGGACTTTTATAGTCAGTTAACACTCTTGCCTCGGGAAGATGGTCAATGGCATGGGTCAGTGGCCCTGGACACACACACAACACAAATAACCCTCTCCTCCTCACAAATATGGGTCCCCTCACTCAACAATTTGTCAGGTAATGCATTTGATGAATTCTTTACTCCCATCTAAACATCTAATGAAATACAATCTAGCACTTATTACCATGGTTACTGCTTGTAAATGAAGCAACACTTATTACCATGGTTACTCCTTTTAAATGAAGCAACACTTATTACCATGGTTACTGCTTGTAAATGAAGCAAGAACTTATTACTGCTTGTAAATGAATGACAGTTTGGAGTTCACACAACTGATCAGATCTTTTCTGATTTCAAAGTAGTTTTGATTGGATGTGATGGTACTCTGTTAAATGAACATGGAAAATATTTTATTGTTCTATCATTGTTTCCTACCCAATGTACACCAGGAGACGCAGCAGATAAGTCACAAGGATAATTGTCTATCTGCGAACACACTGACTCATTCAGCAGAATGACCGAACAGCAAATTCCTTGCCAACATAATGAAGATGAAATTGTCATGTCATTCTTTTAAAGTGTTAAATATTGTACACAACATTTTTATAACCCAGGCCACACCATCAGTTTTGATGACCATTTTGAAATATCACAAGAAACATCCAAACAATGAAAAGGAGACCAGCAAAATAAATTTGAACATGCTGAATTGATCCTGTATAGGTAAATATTTTGTTATAACTCTGTATGTTTGGGGTGTTCTTTATGAAGATCATCAGCAGATTCTTCAGCTGAGGATGCTGGGACGTCCTGGGACGTGACGGGCGACTCTTTTCTGTCCGGAACTTGGTGGTACAACCGAGAGCTGCGTAGCTCAAGCAACTCATTGCGGATCTCGTCATCAGCGTTGCCGCTACTGCTCTGACCTTCGTCCTCTGAGGAGTCACTGGTTTCATATTCAATCTCTGTTCCATCACTATTGAAACCTACAATATTCAAAAGGACATTGTTTCACAAATAAATATTTAAACATGTGGTTTTTTTTATAATGACCAGTGATCAGTCTTACAGTCATTTTGCAATTCAAGCCTCACCACAGTCACCTGTAAATAATCATGTCGAGGCCAGATGATCCAGGAGCAGCATTGTTGTGTGTGAAGACATGCTGTTGTGTATGAAGACATGCTGTTGTGTATGAAGACATGCTGTTGTGTATGAAGACATGCTGTTGTGTGTGAAGACATGCTGTTGTGTATGAAGACATGCTGTTGTGTATGAAGACATGCTGTTGTGTATGAAGACATGCTGTTGTGTATGAAGACATGCTGTTGTGTATGAAGACATGCTGTTGTGTATGAAGACATGCTGTTGTATGTGAAGACATGCTGTTGTGTATGAAGACATGCTGTTGGACATGAAGACATGCTGTTGTGTATGAAGACATGCTGTTGGACATGAAGACATGCTGTTGTGTGTGAAGACATGATGTTGTGTGTGAAGACATGCTGTTGTGTGTGAAGACATGCTGTTGTGTGTGAAGACATGCTGTTGTATGTGAAGACATGCTGTTGGACATGGAGACATGCTGTTGTGTATGAAGACATGCTGTTGGACCTGAAGACATGCTGTTGTGTATGAAGACATGCTGTTGTGTATGAAGATATGCTGTTGTGTATGAAGACATGCTGTTGTGTATGAAGACATGCTGTTGCGTATGAAGACATGCTGTTGTGTGTGAAGACATGCTGTTGTGTATGAAGACATGCTGTTGTGTATGAAGACATGCTGTTGTGTATGAAGACATGCTGTTGTGTATGAAGACATGCTGTTGCGTATGAAGACATGCTGTTGTGTGTGAAGACATGCTGTTGTGTATGAAGACATGCTGTTGTGTATGAAGACATGCTGTTGTGTATGAAGATATGCTGTTGTGTATGAAGACATGCTGTTGTGTATGAAGACATGCTGTTGTGTGTGAAGACATGCTGTTGGGTATGAAGACATGCTGTTGTGTATGAAGACATGCTGTTGTGTATGAAGATATGCTGTTGTGTATGAAGACATGCTGTTGTGTATGAAGACATGTCGTTGACGTATGATGCCTGATTCTCTTCTCTAGCATTGGCATTGAGCACAGGGAATCTATACTCACATGCAAAAGAAATGCAAGTGTTTTTAAGCAAATAGGTAACATATATGGAACGATATGCTCCATTTTTTGCACAACATCAACAACACATTTTCCAGCAGGACAATGCTCGTTGCCAGAGCTACCTTTCTGCAACAACACAACATCCGTGTTCTACCATGGCCAGCCCTCAGCCCTGATCTGAACCCCATCGACCACTTGTGGGATGAGGTTCAAAGGCGTCTGCACAATGTGCGCCCAGTCCCTACAACTGCCGATGAACTATGCACAGCAGCTCTGGATGTGTGCAGGAGGATCCCTAGGGGCTTCACAAATCGTCTGATCCATTCAATGTATAGGAGAGTGCGGCAGTGATCAATGCTAATGGTGGTCACACCAGGTATTGACTGACATTTTGGGTATTGACCCGAAACTGTGTAAGCCCTTAACATTTGAAAAAAACAATTAAGTCATCTGCCTTTTAATCCATTAAACTGCCTTCAGTCAAATTTTGTCAATCTTGCCCTATTAGTATTTCTTGTCTTTACTGTTGAAAATAAATAACATGTATACTGCATACTCGACTTGCGTTTCTTTTGCATGTGAGTATATTTTGCATGATGAACATGATGAATTTATTCCTTAAAATTATTATACTTAAAAATGACAATGATAATTATTGTACTCATAGTAAATTACCTGCTCCAAACTCCTCCGCAGCTTGGAGAGTTGGTTTGTGCTCAGGGCTTTCTCCATATTTAGATTCAAACTCAGACAGTCCCAGGAAGTCGTAGCTTCGAGCTGCAGGCTTCCAATCTCCCTGTGGCAGCACCTCTGTGAACAGGACACCATGGACAACTTACTGGGGGAACAAGACACAGGACACAGGACACAGGACACCATGGACAACTTACTGGGGGAACATGATACAGGACACTATGGACAACTTACTGGGGGTACATGACACAGGACACAGGACAAAGGACACCATGGACAACTTACTGGAGGTACATGACACAGGACACCATGGACAACTTACTGGGGGTACATGACACAGGACACAGGACACCATGGACAACTTACTGGGGGAACAAGACACAGGACACAGGACACCATGGACAACTTACTGGGGTACCAGATACAGGACACCATGGACAACTTACTGGGGTACCAGATACAGGACACCATGGACAACTTACTGGGGGTACATGACACAGGACACAGGACACAGGACACTATGGACAACTTACTGGGGGAACATGACACAGGACACCATGGACAACTTACTGGGGGTACATGACACAGGACACAGGACACAGGACACCATGGACAACTTACTGGGGGAACATGACACAGGACACAGGACACTATGGACAACTTATTGGGGGTACAAGACACAGGACACAGGACACCATGGACAACTTACTGGGGGTACAAGACACAGGACACAGGACACCATGGACAACTTACTGGGGGTACCAGATACAGGACATAGGTGACACCATGGACAACTTACTGGGGGTACATGACACAGGACACAGGACACTATGGACAACTTACTGGGGGAACAAGACACAGGACACAGGACACCATGGACAACTTACTGGGGGTACATGACACAGGACATAGGTGACACCATGGACAACTTACTGGGGGTACATGACACAGGACACAGGACACAGGACACTATGGACAACTTACTGGGGGAACAAGACACGGGACACCATGGACAACATACTGGGGGAACAAGACACAGGACACAGGACACCATGGACAACATACTGGGGGTACTCGACACAGGACACAGGACACCATGGACAACTAACTGGGGGTACATGACACAGGACACAGGACACCATGGTCAACTTACTGGGGGAACAAGACACAGGACACAGGACACCATGGACAACATACTGGGGGTACTCGACACAGGACACGGGACACCATGGACAACTAACTGGGGGTACATGACACAGGACACAGGACACCATGGACAACTTACTGGGGGAACAAGACACGGGACACCATGGACAACATACTGGGGGTACTCGACACAGGACACAGGACACCATGGACAACTAACTGGGGGTACATGACACAGGACACCATGGACACCATACTGGGGGTACAAGACACAGGACACAGGACACCATGGACACATTACTGGGGGAACATGACACATGACACAGGACACTATGGACAACTTACTGGGGGAACAGGACACAGGACACCATGGACAACATACTGGGGGTACAGGACACAGGACACTATGGACAACTTACTGGGGGTACATGACACAGGACACAGGACACCATGGACAACTTACTGGGGGTACATGACACAGGACACAGGACACCATGGACAACTTACTGGGGGTACCAGATACAGGACATAGGACACCATGGACAACTTACTGGGGGAACATGACACAGGACACAGGACACCATGGACAACTTACTGGGGGTACCAGATACAGGACATAGGACACCATGGACAACTTACTGGGGGTACAAGACACAGGACACAGGACACCATGGACAACTTACTGGGGGTACATGACACAGGACACAGGACACCATGGACAACTTACTGGGGGTACAAGACACAGGACACAGGTCACCATGGACAACTTACTGGGGGAACATGACACATGACACATGACACAGGACACTATGGACAACTTACTGGGGGAACAGGACACAGGACACAGGACACCATGGACAACTTACTGGGGGTACATGACACAGGACACAGGACACCATATACAACTTACTGGGGGAACATGACACAGGACACAGGACACCATGGACAACTTACTGGGGGTACAGGACACAGGACACAGGACACAGGACACCATGGACAACTTACTGGGGGTACAGGACACAGGACACCATGGACAACTTACTGGGAGAACATGACACAGGACACAGGACACCATGGACAACTTACTGAGGGAACAGGACACAGGACACAGGACACCATGGACAACTTACTGGGAGAACACGACACAGGACACAGGACACCATGGACAACTTACTGGGGGTACATGACACAGGACACCATTGACAACATACTTGGGGAACAAGACACAGGACACAGGACACCATGGACAACTTACTGGGAGAACATGACACAGGACACAGGACACCATGGACAACTTACTGGGGGTACATGACACAGGACACCATTGACAACTTACTGGGGGAACAGGACACAGGACACAGGACACCATGGATCACTTACTGGGGGAACAAGACACAGGACACCATGGACAACTTACTGGGGGAACAGGACACCATGGACAACTTACTGGGGGAACAAGACACAGGACACCATGGACAACTTACTGGGGGGAACATGACACAGGACACAGGAAACCATGGACAACTTACTGGGGGAACGAGACACATGACACAGGACACCATGGACAACTTACTGGGGGAACAAGATACAGGACACAGGACACCATGGACAACTTACTGGGGGAACATGACACAGGACACAGGACACTATGGACAACTTACTTGGGGAACAGGACACAGGACACAGAACACTATGGACAACTTACTGGGGGAACAAGACACAGGACACCATTTACAACTTACTGGGGGAACAAGACACAGGACACAGGACACAATGGACAACTTACTGGGGGAACAAGACACAGGACACCATTGACAACTTACTGGGGGAACATGACACAGGACACAGGACACCATGGACAACTTACTTGCTGGTTCCTCCTGGCCACTCACAGCACGACTCAGCCACTCCTGGACAGACTCAGGACTATACTCCCCCTCCACCTTGTTGTAAACCTTTCCCTGGAAACAAGTGAACCACAGTTCAGTTATAACGACCAAGGTGGCATAACTTGGACAGATGGACCATAAACTTTGCAAACCAATCAACATGATTATAGGGCAGTTGCCATTTTATAACCGTGTTTTCTTTTCAGTGCGTTGACCAGAGGTGGCTTAAGGTGTACTTACAGTCCTGTGGTAGACGAGGGACAGGGCTGGCAGAACGGAAGACCAGGCATACTCGGAGAAAATGGTGGCTCCTATACTGCTGCCTCGTCTGTAACATAAAACATGTTGCACTCACATGGCAAATTATTCACGGGGCCATTTCCTTATGGTGTACATCTCCAACACAAAAGCCCCCAACCCAGGACCTCATTCCACAAAGTGATCTTAGTGCTAAGTCCTCCCACATAATTTAACAGAGATTTACGATGAGATCACTTTGAGCAATGGGACCCTGGTGGGGGAGATCACAGAGATAAAAAAGACGGAATTCTGACAGGAATATCACATTCCTGTGAACACACCATGAACTAGTGTGAGAATGAGTAGTGAGTGAGTATGGTTTTATGCCGCTTTTAGCAATATTCCAGCAATATCATGGCAGGGGACACCAGAAATGGGTTTCAATCATTGTACCCATCAACTCGAACCCGGGTCTTCGGCGTGACGAGTGAACACTTTAACCACTAGGCTACCCGACAGCCCCTAGAAAAGGAGTAAGTGAACTAGGTTTAACACCGTTTTGAACAGATTTCCAGTGATATCCAGAGTGTTAGCTCAATGTGGAAGGAAATCCGAAGTAATGTAGGTGTGAGATGATCACTAAGGTGAAACCCACAAGAACAGGTAATGTTGTTACAATCTTGAAAAGTAATCAGGGCAAACCGAGATTCAAACCTGTGAACACATCATGAACTAATCTGTATCCAGGGCATCTACACAAACCACTCACGCGTGCATCCAGGCAAAGACAACTCCTGGGAAGAGCCCGGACAGGGCCAAGTCAGCGACAGTCTTCTTGATGAGAGTTGTCTCAGCTTCTTCATACTTGTCACAGAACAGGATGAGGAGTGGCTTGTCCTGGCTGTACATCAGTGGGAAGACATCCGCCGTCAGCTCGGGCTGGGACACACAACAATGTCAAGTATAGCAACATTAGGATAAAAAAAATAATAGTCGTGGTTCCCAGGCATCATAAAGTTTGCCGTCAGCTCGGGCTGGGACACAAAACAATTTCAAGTATAGCAACATTATGATAAAAAAAATAATAGTCTTTGTTCCCAGGCACCGCCCACATCATCATAAAGTTCGCCGCACGTTTCATTTTTATTTCCATTTAAAAAAAACCAATAGAAATCCTTAAATATTCCAAGTCCAACGATAGTGAAATACTGAATTCCAGTATTTTACTGAAGGTATAGATTTATGTTGGGAGGCCCTTTCCCGGGTTGATTGTACAGAGATGGGTTTTTTGTTACACAACCGTTTATTTATACTTTAAATTATTTATTTATTTATTTATTTATTAAACCAATTATTTTATTTTTTTAGCCTTAGCAGTAAATTTTGTTTTGTTTCACCCTCAACATGTCATCTGAGTGTCAATACAAAAATCATCATTTTAGAGATATCACATGTAGAACCACAAATTACTGAGTAAATTTAGTTTTTTTATGGCCACAGCATGCTTTTTCAAAAAGCTAATGGATAAATGAGCACGCAATGTGAGAGCAATGAGCTTTTTGTCTTTGCAGTTCAAGAACACACAAAGTAATCCAGGTCATAGCTGATAGATAGCACTCTCCATGTGGCTTGATAGTCATAACTAGAAGGGATTCTAAGCCATTTGTATGTTGAATACCATTAGACTATGTTTGACATGCCCTGGAGGAAAGCTCATCAATGACAAGTCAGGTTATCATGTTCCTGGGCACAGTGTTGGTCTCACCAATGTCGGAAGCCTGCTGTTTGACACCAGTGTCTTGATCCTGTCAGCAGTCAGGTCTGTGGTGAGGGACTTGGTGTCGGAGTAGGGATCATCATGACGGAACACCAGCACACATGGAACAGGCTGGCCCAGCTTCTCTGCACTGTCAACACACAGAAGGCAAGCATGTGCTTGGAACTTGTAAGGAGTGGGTATAAGATTATACACTGCTGGTGGTGGGGAGCACTGGAGCACAGAAACCAATTTTTATGTTTGTATTTCTTACTCAATTCTTACTACTGCCTATAGGTAAAGTATGGAAATGTACAGATTTAACCATACCAGTTCATCCCCAAATAGAGAGTATGAGTGAGTGAGTGAGTATGGTTTTATGCCACTTTTAGCAATATTCCAACAATATCACGGCAAGGTACACCAGAAATGGGCTTCACACATTGTACCCATCGAATCGAACCCGGGTCTTCGGCGATACGAGCGAACACTTTAACCACTAGGCTACCCGACCGCCCCTAGATAGGAGTAAGTGAACTAGGTTTAACACCGTTTTGAACAGTTTCCAGTGATATCACGGCGTGTTAGCTCAATGTGGAAGGAAATCCGAAGTAATGTAGGTGTGAGATGTTCACTAAGGTGAAACCCACAAGAACAGGTAATGTTGTTACACTCTTAAGAAGTAATCGGGGCAAACCGAGATTCAAACCGTCAATTATAAGTTTCTGCACAGTGAACTGCTGACTGGGCCACCCATGTTCCCTATAGAGTCTATAGAAATAGTGTAACATGTCTCACATGTCCTTGGCTAGCTGCCCCTGCACATGGGCAAACACTGTTGTGTTCTGCAGGCTCCCAGCTACCTCCTTGAAGGCAGACACCTCTGGAAAAAACACGCACAACAAACATTGCTAACAATTGGCAATCCTTCACATGTCAAGCTAACACACAGATGTCTAACATATCTAACATAGTGATTGATATACAAAATGTATAATGATGAACGATTAGATGACAAATCCTTGCTCTGTGGACCTAAATCAACAGACTTACTGACCGTGTCAACTTACCTAAGTCCATTGTACGAATTTAAGGGTGAAGGTCAAGGGGTCCTTGTCATAACATTTATTGTTCAATTAAAGGACTCCTTAAATCAATATACCAAGATCCTGGATGCTGCTGCCCTATTATGTGGGTGATCTTTCACAGATTTTTTTCAGTCTATTCAGCAATTATTATTACAATTTTCAACTTCCCTCAGTACTTGGTTACCTATACTTTTAGATATTGCTTACTAGGTCATTGTAAAATAACATTAGATATTGCTTACTAGGTCATTGTCAAATAACATTAGATATTGCTCACTAGGTCATTGTCAAATAAAATTAGATATTGCTTACTAGGTCATTGTCAAATAACATTAATTCCCTGATAGTCCACACAAAATCACATTCAAGGTATCCGGTCAGAGTGAAATGTTCCAGTGGAAGTTATGGTTATGTACACAGATATTAAGATAATCAATCATTATTCAAGATGGTGATCATAAAAACCATGCACATGACTGTGCCAGGGTTATCTAACAATGAATATCCAACAAGTCTTCACGATCATGAACATGAATGCTGAAGAACGAAGAATGTCATGTTTTTCCCCATGTCTTTGTCTGTCTCACAGTCCCTTGAACATTTTATTTTCTCTTCCGCCTAGCCCTAACTGTAATGCTATAGCTCTAAATTAATCAAGTCTAGATATTTTCTACAGGTTCAGGTTCTGAATCTCACATCTCACTGGGGCTCCTTTTCAATATAAATGGAGTTGTTTGTTTCTATCAAAATCATATATTTTCAGAGACTATGAGTTATTGTACCATGTCTCTACAAGCACCACAGTTAACTCACCTGGTCCTGTCTGTACAAAGAGGCCAAGTACTGACATGTTTGTGTAGGCAATGATGTTCTCAGGCAGCGTCCCCGCAACAAACTTCTGCACCTCCGTCTGCGTTGTCAGCATCATCGGCGACTCCTGCTGCATCCTGCAATGGAAGAGACACACTCACTGTACACATGATCAGCATCCTCATTATAGCTGAAGTCACTCACCTGTTCTCCAACATCTGCCAATGATGCACAGGGTTTCATTGCTTTCCCTCTTAGAAGGGGCGGTCGGGTAGCCTAGTGGTTAAAGCGTTCGCTCGCCACGCCGAAGACCCGGGTTCGATTCCCGACATGGGTACAAAGTGTGAAGCCCATTTCTGGTGTCCCCCGCCGTGATATTGCTGGAATATTGCTAAATATTGCACTCACTCATCCTTATAGAAAAAAAACAGAATCCACCAGGGACAGGGTATCATGGTATCTGCAGAGACGCCAACCCTAATTAAAGCTTTGGAGTAATCAGGGGTATAAAAGCATAATTTCATGTGAAAAATAGCAATGTTAAGAGTACCATGCCATGATGCTGGTTTTCGCTTCTTCATTTTCATTACGCCTATACGAACGTGAAGCATGGGTACAGTAACACATGCATTGACGCTGGTAGTATAGACACACACCCAAGCCCTACTGTTTTAAAAAGAGGGCGATAAAGCTCGAAATAAGCATAAAAGAAAACTTCCGCTTGCGTCTGTATGGTTAAATAATCAACATTGAGAAAAGTATTCCAAAATGATTTTTATACTTACTTGACGCGACACTTTTAGCACTGTGTAGCGTCAGGTAAGGTAAAACATAAAAGTTCCATAACGGCATGCCAACCTCATCAGCGACATACATCGGGGGCCACATTGCAAACAAACATGTTGTATTTTGAATAATTTTTGTAATTATAGATCATAAATCACTTACGAAAGCATTCAATTCAAGCTGTTATGTGGGGGCAAGCCCCCCAAACCTTCTGTTATCTTAGAAGGCATATGACATTCGTGCCGAAACACGTGGTCAAAACTCCACACATTCATAAAATTTTTACAAACCTGTAGAGGTTATGAATTCTCTGATGAAATCCTCCTTGGGGCACTTATTGCATTTTCCTTGCTCAAGAAAATCTATATGACATAGTTGTAACCATTTTCCTTAATAAAAAATGTTACCACACAAAAAACTTCGTTTTTGTATGATATACGACCACCCTTACGGGGCCTCACCCCCAACGGCGCCTCACGCCAGGGGGAGCAACTCTCACCCAAATCACTTTCCATATGTCAAATGCTGACGGAATGTGGGGAGGTGGGTGGCCGTGCCCCAAGGAGGATTTCATCAGAGAATTCATAACCTCTACAGGTTTGTAAAATTCTCTTTCTGATTAAATCCTCCTTGGGGCACTTATTGCATCAAGACAGACTCCCAAAGATAATCTAGGAAGTGGCATCCGTCAGCAACAGGCGTAAATAAATACATCGTATTTGATTATTCAACAGAATAAAATATTGAGTTCAATAAATGGAACCAACCTTATCGTGAGGCACCACCGTCGAAAGGCGGGGGCTAGAGACAGGGCGTGGTCGACCATATATTATGATAAAGCCTGTTTTTGCGGCTTGTCATAAGTTGAGAACTCGAAACACCTCCCACCCCCCCCCCCACACTTTTTTGAACAAGTGATATAAGGGCGTAGATCACGAGAGACCATAACCAGCGCTGAGCTAGGCCAGAGGGTCCCCGAGGATCGAAGGAGTGCGTGCGCAAAATACGAGTATTATCGAGTAGTAAGGACTGATATTTATCGACCGCAGAAGATAAAATCCGGACCATTACTGAGCAGTATAACCGGAAGACTGTCTAAAATCTCGAATGCTCAATCAGCTAGAGATTAGAACTTTGCCCAGTTCGGAGAACTGACTGACCAAACCGAGTACGCTCGCTTGAGTGTTTGTCGAGTTGGTAAGGTTTGATGAATCGTGCTCGGCTGGCTCCAAATAGCCGCGGAGCAGATCTGCTCAATGGGCAGAGCCGCGGCGTACGCTTTTGACGCAGCCACTGCTCTAACCTAATGAGCCTTCAACCTGGTAGGGGGGTCCCTGCCTGTAAGCGTATACGCTGTACAAATGTTTGAAACTATCCACCTCGAGATAGATTGTTTACTCGCAGGTGAGCCAACCTTCCTACCGCAGTAACAGCAAAATAGTTGGTTATCCTTACGGACACCCATATTTCTGCTGATATAGGCCTTGAGAGTCGTGCGGACATCCAAGACATGAGCATGTCTTGCAGTGGTCCCCGACGAGGAAGGCTGTGAAAGAGCGGGTAGCTCAATAGGAGCCGTTCACGTGGAATCGTGTGCGACCCTAGGACGGTAATAGTCCGGTAGACGAAAACTGACTGTCCCGGTGATATTTATCGACCCCATGGAAGACAGTTATTTTGGGATCGGCTGACATAACACGAATGTCGCCTACCCGTCTGCCGGACGTTACCACCACAAGGAACGCCGTCTCCCAGCTCAACAGCTGAAGAGAGAGAGACGACAGATCCCGAAAGGAAGGACCGGACAGCCAATCTAGAATGATTGACAAGTCCCAAGGGGGACTGATCCGCCGGACTGGCGGTCGGATCCTGTCCACACCTGCTAAAAAGCGCTGCACTAATGGGTGTGCACCCAGAAGTGCCCCGTCGACAGGGACGTGAAAAGCTGCGATAGCTGTAGAGTACCCTCGGACTGTTGATGCGGCCAGGCCGTCATCTAGTCGCGACTGGAGAAACTCAAGCACGGATACGAGATCTGCAGAAAAAAGATCTGCAATCCCTCTATCGACACACCTGGGCGCATAGCAGGCCTATCTATCGTACTGAACGTTTGTCGAATCCCTCCGCGAAGCCAGTATTGTGTCTGCAACTCGTGCAGGAATACCGCTCTTCTGGAGGCGATTCCTGACAGTGGCCAAGCCACCCATTGAATCCTGAGATTCGGGTGGAGGGCCCCGTTCTGGGATAGGAGGTCCGGACGTAAAGGTAATATAACAGGAGGCTGAGCCAGAAACCTGAGTATTACTGGAAACCCACTCTGCGCCGACTAAAGAGGTGCCAGGAGCACAATTAGTCGCGCAGGCTGAGTGCCTAGCTGAGACAGGACCTTGGAAATCAGAGGTACTGGGGAGAATGCCCACAGAACTGTCCGTCCAATCTAGCTGAAAGGCGTCCGGTGCCACCGACCTCGGGTCGTGGACTCGGGAGCAGAACGTTGGTGTCTGGTTATTTAACCCAGACGCAAACAGATCCACCTGTAACGACCTGTATAACAGGGAGAAAATCCCGAATATCCCCGGGTCGAGCCTCCACTCGTGAGGAGCGAGGATCCGGCAAGACAGAGCGTCCGCACGGACGTTGTCCACCCCCGGGAGATAAACAGGTAGCACCCTGATATCGTGAGAGTCGCACTATAGTAGGAACTGCCACGTCTTTCGTCGAAGCGACGGAGACGCCGTTCCCCCCTGCTTCCGGATGTAAGTCATCGCCGTTTGGTTGTCCATCTCTAGACGAACCACTTGGCCACGAAGCAGATCCGGGAAGCGTTGGAACACCAACCTGACCGCTCTCAGTTCTAGCACATTGATATGCAGTTTGATCTCCTGCTGGGACCATAGTCCCGAGGCAGTGTGATCATTCAGAACGCCTCCCCAGCCGGAGAGTGACGCGCTGTTTGAACTGTGAGAGACGGAACGGGAGTGATTCCCGACCTCGGTCCACCACTGGAGGTGTGTAATGAGCCACTACGGAGTCTCGAGCACAGTCTCGAGATCTTCCGAGTTCGCCCAAAGTCGACGGAGTGCTTGTTGAATGGGACTCATTCTCAAGCGCGCCCGCCAGACCAAATCCACTGTCGCCGCCATGTTGTCCAGTAACTGGAGCCATGTACGAGCAGTGTGACTTGCGCTTAAGGGACTTGATATCTTGTGACAGAGATACACGTCCTCTCACCGTGTTGAAATTAGCCACTAGATTCTGAGTGGGGCTCAGATCTGACTTCTTGAGATTGACCATCCACCCTAGAGTGATCAGAATATCTATCACTTGTTGTGTAGCTATCTGACTCAGGGATTGCAATAGAGCTCTTAGTAACCTAGTCGTCGAGGTACGGATGGCAGAACCGACCTTTTGACCTGGCCACTTGGGCGGGAATCAACATCGGCTTGGTGAACACCCTCGGGGCCGTGGAGATCCCGAATGGTAGAACCCTGAACTGATAACACCTCCCGTCGAAAGAAAACCTCAGGTATTTCTTGAACTCTGGATGTATTGGTATGTGGAGATTGGCTAACGTCAATAGACTTAAAATACGCCTTTCTCCTGTCTCGACAGTTGAGATCACTGTTTGGTGACTAGGAAACAAGTCGAGTAGAAGCCCTCGCTTTCCTGTCCCTCGGGACCCGGTTCGATCGCAGCTTTCATAAGAAGTGCGTCGACCTCGGCACGGAGGAATTCCGCCTTCTCTCGGGTAGCAGGCACCGGTGTGTGCTTTATCCCGGAAAAGTGGAGGAGCGGATGAGTTTTCCCGATAACTTGCGACTATGGGTTCACCCGGGGCTCTTCGGGCGCTAATGGGAACCCATCGTTCCCAGCCCCGCGAAAAAGCTGTTGGCCTCGACCAGCTGCCTTGCCCCGGCCCGTGCCTCTCTTGCTCCTCACGGCGCCCTTATACCTGAAGGAAGCGGCGGCTTCCAAGCAGGTGTGGACGTCTGACCCGTGCGTTAGCGTAGGAGGGGACAATTGGAGAGGCCCGCTTACGCGGTTTTAACGCTTGGTACCTCCAACAAGGCCTTATGAGTCTTTGATGGAAGTATACAATTGAGCAGCCTCTCGGACCGCCTGCTGAGCCCCAGGGAAGAGGGTGGCACCCTCTTATACGGCAAAGCAAGTAGGTCTTGGCGTGTGTAAGTCGAGTATTTAGATACCGACATCCACCGCCTGCGCATGCACATAACAGCGCACATCATCTGCGATGCACAGCTACGAATAGCGTCCCGCGCAAGATAATGTTAGTTGCGCGGCCAACTCCGAAGAGTCGGCCGGCCCCTCTCCCGCTAACTCCCTCTGTACAGCCGACAGATACGCGGAGTGTACGGACACACGGAGCTGTTGGCATGCATTATGATATTGCTCCTCGAAGCATATGTAAGCAGCCTTCAACTCCGCACCGCACACGGGAAAGGGGGGGCAACCGCCGGCCCTGCTTGACCTTAGTCAAGTTGGGTGTCTCCGACTCTGGCATGGGCGCAGCAACCTGAGGCAGTACATGGACAATCCTGTCCCGCACGTGTCTCTGCACCCGGCCCGAGGCCGAGTCCCGGTGCCGAGGTGCCGGAGGTTCAAGGGAACCCACCTGGCACTGGGCTAGGTATCCACTAGTGAAAGCCTTGGCCTCGGAAGAGGCGTCTGGCTCCGCTAGGGTAAATTGTGCGTCGGTAGTGCACGGGCCGGTGCCCGCCACCACTACGCTGGGGAGCGACCTCGAGCCGGAGCCGAAGCTCGGTCTCGGATCGTCCCCGAGACAAAGGGAACCAACCTGGCTCCGGGCTAGGTATCCACTAGTGGACGCCTCGGCCTCGGAAGAGGCGTCTGGCTCCGCTAGGGAAAATTGTGCGTCGGTAGTGCACGGGCCGGTGCCCGCCACCACTACGCTGGGGAGCGACCTCGAGCCGGAGCCGAAGCTCGGTCTCGGATCGTCCCCGAGACAAAGGGAACCAACCTGGCTCCGGGCTAGGTATCCACTAGTGGACGCCTCGGCCTCGGAAGAGGCGTCTGGCTCCGCTAGGGAAAATTGTGCGTCGGTAGTGCACGGGCCGGTGCCCGCCACCACTACGCTGGGGAGCGACCTCGAGCCGGAGCCGAAGCTCGGTCTCGGATCGTCCCCGAGACCAAGGGAACCCCCCTGGCTCCGGGCTACGAATCCACTAGTGAAAGCCTCGGCCTCGGAAGAGGCGTCTGGCTCCGCTAGGGAAAAATTGTGCGTCGGTAGTGCACGGGCCGGCGCCCGCCACCCCTCCGCTGGGGAGCGACCTCGAGCCGGCGCCGAAGCCCGGTCTGAGATCGTCCCCGAGACCAAGTTGCCTGCCTCGGCCGACGCCGGGCATATCACAAGGTCTCGAAGCCGCGTCCGGCGCAGACAACGGGGAAGGCTCGGTCCGCATCTCCTCTCGGAGCTGAGACTTTACCTCCTCCATCATCGACGCCATCTGCGACTTAAGTAACGCAGAAAAGTCTGCCAAAGACAGTGCAGGAGAGGGTGCAGTGCTTACTACGGGGACCCTCGAGCCTTCTCCCCCGGCCCCCGGAGAGGGAGCGGGGGAGACAATCTCGGCAGCTTTTTTACCCTTTTTAGATGGGGAGGGGGGGGATGTCTTAGTAGATCTGATATCTACCCCCGCCTTTAATAGACCTCTTTAAAGTGGAACAAGTCAACTTGTCTCTTTTGGGGGCCCCGGGGGGTAAAGGCAATGTCCTCCGCCAGACATATTCGGCAGCGTTCGTGCCTGTCTTAGAACAACCCGTACACAGTTTGAAGGTCTTGTAAACAAGACCGTAATTTCTGAGGTGGGCGGGAAGGGTATCAACGTGTATCAGTGCGATATAAAGATCGGAAAGAAACGTGCATAAATTGTGAAACTAGAAGCAAAGGCGTAATGTAGAATGCGATTTGTAACGCGATACTAATAGCCAATGTGTAGTATAATTATAACACCAAAGGGGCGTGTTACGCGCTAAGGTGTAAAAACCCGTAAAAAAGGTAAGTGTAGTTTATGAATTAACACACCACCTTGGGTTTTGTAAAGGAAAAAATTGTAGACCAATGCTGTATGATATAACAAAACCCCAAGCCGTTTCTTAATGGCCTTGGTGTTACATGTATCAGCCCGTGGAACTACAATATGGACGCCATTACGGCCATTTGAATTCAAAGGTACCGTGCACGTGGCGTATTATTACAACTCTATAACTTCACAATGCGAGGTATTACGCCTTTGCAAAGAAAGAAATGTACCATACATACAGTTTGGTCAGCCATGGTTCTTGTCGAACGATAGATTTCTCTTATTTTTGTCTTGTGTGAAAAATCAACACGTCTGTCTCTTACAGATGACATAAGGAAAGTGATTTGGGTGAGAGTTGCTCCCCCTGGCGTGAGGCGCCGTTGGGGGTGAGGCCCCGTAAGGGTGGTCGTATATCATACAAAAACGAAGTTTTTTGTGTGGTAACATTTTTTATTAAGGAAAATGGTTACAACTATGTCATATAGATTTTCTTGAGCAAGGAAAATGCAATAAGTGCCCCAAGGAGGATTTAATCAGAAAGAGAATTAAGTGACAATATTACCCGAATTGCAGAAAGACAATGTGGTGTTTCGAGTTCCGAAGAAATATCAGTGTACATGCAATTAGCTCCCTGTAGATGCTTCACGTGATCGGTGCATTAACAATCTGCTCCCTGTGATATTTTTACATCTAAATAATTTGTGAAAGAGATGTCAAAAATCGTAATTTGGGCTCATCAGGCTCAAAAGCGTAATTATTACTCCAAAAGCATAATGATTGGCATCTCTGTATCTGTCACTACTACTAGTGACAGCAATCTGAGTGGATACATATTGGTTCCAAAGCTTGTTCTGTTTGAGACATGCACTGTTTGTGCTACAGTTACCCAAACTGCAGTACCGTATTCGACATAATAAGCGCCCAGGGTGCTCTCAAAATTAGAAATAGGGGGCTCTTATTAGAATATTATTTTGGTGAAAAACAACAGAGTTGAAAGATCATAAATTTCGTGGTTTATGCTGACAACCTGAAATGTTAATATACGGCAGATATATTTTTCCAGAATTTAATTTTCCATAATTAAGGATGCATATAACACACGTCTTATACACAAATAAATAAGTCTTGTGTACATTGATCAATCGGAAGGTTAATTGGGATTGTTCACTAGCCAATATGTTAGCAAATATCGCCGTGGGTGCTTATTAGAACGGGGTGCTTATTATGTCTAATACGGTATTTCCTGACACCCTTAATCAGTAATCAAGTCTTGACCTGACAAAACCAGTGGCTGATAGCCTGTGTAATGATCTACCTGACAGGGGTAAGATATTCTGAGCCAACACACTCACAGCTTGACCACAGACACGACTGCATCTGTGTCTAGAGCTCCCTTGTAGTCGGTTGGGTCTTGTCCTTTCTTGAAGAAGCGCACTGTCGGGTAGCTAGACACATTCTGTTGACCACACACATCCATCCAGTCGTAGCAGTTGACTCTCCCCAGCGGACTGCGACTGGCATGCTTGTCCTCCAGGCTGAAGGAAGCCTCACCATACGCACGAAGGAAGGCCATGCTCCTCGAGTCAACTGAAATACAGCCATTTCCCTCAACAGTTGCTTCACTTGTACGATGTGTAAAGTACACAAGAAATGAGAATTTATATTCAATTTTTCAATGATTTTATTCTCATATCTGTGGACATAGCATAATTCATTACATTTAACTAGTGATATTTATATAGAAACTGCAGTGATGAGCAGAAAGCTAAAAATATAATAAATTGTGAATCAGAGAATTCCTAATTCATATACTTAGGCTAAAAAAATAATTCTTGGTTGTCAGGCACCGTCGCATGTTTTTTGAAGACAGTATAGATCAAACACTACTTCTACATCAGCATTGTTACTCCATGAATTGAACCATAACCATGTCCCACTTCAAGATGACGTCTGCTGACACCATCACATGACTTACAGGGCAGGTAGAAGAGCACAGCCAACAGGTCCCTCTCCTGGACAGTTGCTGGGAAAGTCTTATCTGTGAGAGCAGGAATGAGGCTGAGCTTCATGGGGTCGCGGCTGAGCTGGAACACAGCCTCCGCCACCTGGTCATCCTGTGTCTCCACTGCAACAACAACACAGTCGCTGCATCACACAAACAATTCACATCTTCAGTAAACTCAACGAATTTTCAGCAGAGATTTGTTGTAAAATTGCCCTTGGTATGATCATATTTTAAAAGTCATGACATTTCTTAATGCCTGTGTATGTACATGTATATAGGAAATACAAAAAAATAGTAAGTAAATAAAACTGAAAGAAAAAATTAAAAAACATTTGAAAATTCTTGCAACGGTTTTAAAGCGTGTTCAGGCTTGAGCAAACCCTTTCTGTTTTTGACAACAAACATCTGCCACAACATTGCATATCATGAGAGTGATTACAGTGGGTGTTATAAACATGATTACTTCATTGTTATGGTTATGAGGCCAAACATAAATATGAACTCCACTGAGAAAAGTCCATGCCATGTTAAAAATTCAATTTTGTTACAGTTCAACACACCTACATAGTTTCATCTCTGTGGGCCTTATGCTTATTGAGAAGTTTCTTGAGAAGTACCGGTACTAGCCCACTCACCCAGACCAGTTTTGTTAATGTTAATGGTGTCCCAAGGGCTAGTAGAATTTCAGACATTTTGGTAGGTCTTGCTATATGTCATCATTAATCGGGCTAGAAGACGTTCTTGGTTAATTTCCATTCCTGTTAAGGACTTTCAAAGTGTTATATTGTATGAATAACATTCCTAAAGGCAGCCATTGTGCGTGTCTTATCCCCAAAAAGAGTGCAAGTTTTAGCCCCTATGTCATTGACTGAAAAATATTTTGGTCACATGTTACTTTAGGACTTCCAGCCTTTGTGTTATGCTTGATAGCTTCCTTCAAAAACACAAGACTGCATGGCTCCACAGAGTGGGCACGATCATTTCAGACAGACAGAAGTGAGTGAGGTTCTATACAGGTGTGACCCTGACCTTCCTCCACAGACGGGAAGTTGTATCCAGTTTTCTCCATGTCCTTTTCGTTCATATCACTTGAGCCAGGTGTCCCCTCCTGGCTGCCCCCCTCCACGTCCATGGGCTCCTGGTCAAACAGGTTGCTCTGGATGAAGCTTGCGATGTTGTCGAGTGACCACTCGGTTGTCATGAAGCGTGGAGCCTCCTGAAGGGCACACATTTCAATAATCTACAAGCTCTGGTTTGGAGAATACGAGTGCATCATAGAATTTTGCTTGCTCATGGGTGTTATTTGCTTGTGCTTACCCAGTGCATTACATCCCCATTCTGTTATGATAAACACCCTGGACCCATTTGAAGTCATCATTCCCATCTCCCCTTTCTCTGAGCACAGAAGGGGCGGTCGGGTAGCCTGGTGGTTAAAGCATTTGCTCGTCACGCCAAAGACCCGGGTTCGATTCCCGATATGGGTACAATGTGTGAAGCCCATTTCTGGTTTCCCCCGCTATGATATTGCTGGAATATTGCTAAAAGCGGTGTAAAAGCATACTGACTCACTCATTCACTCTAAGCACAGTGAGTGTGAGTGAGTGAGTTGGGTTTAACGCCACTTTTAACAATATTCCAGTTATATCACGGCGTGTCAGCTTAATGTGGGAGGAAAGCCCGAAAGTGATGCAGGTCTAAGACGTTTACCACTTCAGTGAAACCCACAAGCACGGGTATGGTGCTGACAAACCCAGAAACATAATCGGGGCGAATCGGGATTCGAACCCAAAATCATAGGTTTCAGGCGTGCCCAAGGAACGCAACTCTGCACAGCGAATCGCGGCGCCTTAGACGACTGGGCCACCCGTGCCCCCTCTAAGCACAGACTTTTGCTTGCTCATGAGTATTATTTGCTTGGATGGCTATTTTTAGCATCATTCCATTCAAGTCCGGCTCAAAATGGAGCTATGGCAGCAAAAGGGTCCAGGGTGTATATTATAATAGAAGGGAGATGGACTATCCTAGACAATCAGGCCTGTGACTCCTAATTCCTCACGGGGTGGATACTAGCTAGTGGATTCACAGGAACACCAACAGAAGCAAAGATGGATATAAGATATATCATCTGATGTGACCTGTAATGGGATGTCCTCAGATCTTTGCGGTAGCGAGAACTAAGACCTGATTTTACTGAGATTGTTCCACGAGGGACAGTATAGTAGGTAATGTTCAACAGGTGGCAAGGTATACTGACAGTCTGAGCAATTAAGGACAGATTTCTCATCGTTCAGATGAATCTTAAATTATGGTAAGGTTTTGTAATCCACGGAGAGAACGAGGGAGTGAGATTTAACACTGCATTGATCTGTATTTAAAGTCATATCACATAGGTCAGTTTTAATTTGAGGGGAGTTAAAATTTTGATTATAGTAAAACCAATGAGCATGGGTATTCAATGACAGACATAGGAATGAATACCAGGTCAATTGTGCAATTCAAACCACAAAGAGAGTATGTAACCACAAAGTGCAGTTTGGCCTGATGTGACTGGGGTACACTTTTACACTAAGCCTGCCAGGCCACTACTGGGAGGTTGTCTACGAGATTGCTCTTATATCTGGGTATTATCTAGGGATGTCAGCGTATATCACAATAGATTTTGTAATGGCGGTGCTGTATTGATACAAATTTATCAATAGTATAATAGCATAAATTGATTAAAAGGTCTAAATAGGTACTTTTAAGGGAAATTCTTCATGCATTTTGGGGAGCCAAGGTTTACCCTGCGTTGCATCCAGGGTAGCGGTACATCGAGGAGCCTTATGTCGAGGAATCGCTGTATCTATACACATCAAGAATAATTATTTTATCATGTCTATTGTGATTCTTTGAGTCGATATATCAGTACTAATATTTCCAATCAATGATGCCGCTAGTATTATCTGTATACAATCCTAATCTAATTTGTCATGTAGAGGACCAAGATGAGCTTGAGACCTATTCTGCCAACTCGTCACTAAATGGGTGAGGAAAGACTGAAAGGCAGCCATCTTGTGGAACACATCACATCAGCAGACGCAACTTACCTCTTCTTTCAGGAAGACACTTATGGCTGGTGTCTTGCCATTAAAACCATGCGCATCCTCAAAGACAATCTTTTCCCTGAAATCAATCAGTTAGGAGGTTACCATGGTTACCCTGGGAGCTGGGAGGTGAGAGGTAGATACAGAAGATGGACAAGAAGTACAGCAGATGTAACTGCAACACCAATGAAAAACAATGGAGAGATTTGCTTTGGAGTAGCTTGTCCAGGGCTCTCTCAGTTATAAACTTTGGGTGTCCCAGTCATGCAGGTCTCATGTCTCACTTGGTTTCCAAGAACATTATTGTCATGCTCAGAGAGAGAGAGAGAGAGAGCGAGAGAGAGAGAGAGAGCGAGAGAGCGAGAGAGAGCGAGAGAGAGAGAGAGAGAGAGAGAGAGAGAGAGAGAGAGAGAGAGAGTGAGCGAGCGAACATTATTCTAGTTATATTCGCCGTGTCAGCTTAATGTGGGAGGAAAGCCCGAAGTGAAGTGAAACTTATTTCAATTTCTACAGGAGTATAGGATGCAATATTTGCCATCTGGTAAAACTTGCAATGAAAACATTCTTAATATACTGATAACTACTTGTACTGTAAATGGTCAATACAACAAACATGTAAAGACAGTAAAAATGTTTCTTGATTTTCATGTTAATTTTGTAAATTTTGTTTGTAAACCAAGGCCCTGTTCCATAAAGCGATTGTAGCGTTACGACAGTCGTAAGTCTATGCTAAGAGATTAAGGCAGTTACAACCCAAGGGCCAATTGCTCAACCGATCTTAGCACTAAAACTATCGTAAGCCTATTCTCAAGTATGGGAGTTATGATCATCTTAGCACTAAGATCGCCCTGGTAAGTGGGCCCTGGTAATTAAAATCTGAAGGCATCATAGCGTGAATCATGCAAACACATTTGTACTTACGTATCAACAACGACTATGCCCGCTACTCCATAGATCTCAAACTTGAGGGTCTCCGCAGCTTCAAACACCTGCTCCTTGGTGTCTCTGTCGTAGTAGAGGAACACACAGTGGAATTTCTCGTTGCGGCAGCTCGGAATGGTGCCGTGCTCCGGGAGCTCAAACTGGGGGAAGCGGAGGAAAAGGTGGAACAGTCACAAAACTACGGAAACTCCTTCATCATTTGTTCTTACGTTGATCTTTGTCATGATCATCTACACATGAACATCATTACTGGCATCAAGTTGTTTCAATGTATTCAGTTTATACTGGCACTATTACCGACCTGTTTACTCCTCACTGGCCATACCCGTAGTTCACTAGGAATCTGTCAGTAGTTTCAGCTGTTTGTCAGTGGTCATTATTACAACGTGCGATCAGGTGCAGTCGATCTCAGACACGTTACAATGAACAAATGACTGTCCCCTCTTTGAGGTAGTAAGAATTAAAGTGAGTGAGTGAGTATGGTTTTACGCCGTTTTTAGCAATATACCAGCAATATCATGGCGGGGGACACCAGAAATGGACTTCAACCATTGTACCCATGTCGGGAATCGAACCCGGGTCTTCAGCGTGACGAGCGAACGCTTTAACCACTAGGCTACCCGACCGCCCCAGTAAGAATTAAAGACACGTCCAGATCTTATTGTATGTATCCTTGTATCACTTTCTTGGTTTAACTATAGCCTTCGCTGACATCGACTGACCAATAAAGGTCATCAGACTTTGGTTTGGACGTCTGAGCGTCTGCTCGATATTATTACGCCCAATGCAACAGGTTTATTTCCATCATGCTCAATTGGTTGAACAACTATTGATACCCTTGTTTCAAATTAGAAGTAATATTACTTCATCATTAAGAACTTAATGTATACATTCTCAAAATTTGTATTTTATTCACCTGGATTCGTTGTCACGTTTTTATTAAATAATCCTTAGGAACTATGGAGAAACCCTAGGAGTAAACAGGTCTGCTATTTAAAAGATATCAGGATTCAAGAGGTGCAGCTATTTTGAAATGTATTATCATGATGTTTCTAGATACTGTATTCGACGTAATAAGCGCCCATGGCGATATTTGCTCATATAATGGCTAGTGAACAGTCCCAGTTAGCACCCTTTCCGATTGATCAATGTTCACTAAACTTATCTTACATTAAACAACATTGATTCTACAACTAATTTATTTCCCCATTCCAATTTGAAAAGGTATCCTAAAAACTGCTTTATTACATGTATTTGGTAATTACCACTGTGAAATGTCCATCACATAGTGACACGAGGAAGTGTGATATCACATCAAAGAACCTGCTGTACACACAGACATTTTTGTTTGTTGTATAATGCTGCAGTCAGCTTTATTCCAGAAATACCACTGCTACTGCAGTCTACCAATAATCTATGCTGGACCAGGCAAACCAGTGATTGATGCTATGAGCAATGTCCCAATCCATCAGTTTGCGATGACATGCAGTCAACCAAAGCTTAAAAAAGGATTGGGTGGTCACATTCTGTGGCTCGGTGATTGCATGTCATCATAGAGTGAGTGAGTGAGTGAGTGAGTGAGTGAGTGAGTGAGTGAGTGAGTGAGTGAGTGAGTGAGTGAGTGAGTGAGTGAGTGAGTGAGTGAGTGAGTGAGTGAGTGAGTTGGGTTTAACGCCACTTTTGACAGTATTCCAGTTATATCGCGGTGTGTCAGCTTAATGTGGGAGGAAAGCCCGAAGTGATGCAGGTCTTGGATTCGAACCCACAATCATAGGTGTCTGGCGTGCCCAAGGGACGCAACTCTGCACAGTGAATCGCGGCACCTTAGACGACGGGGCCACCTGTGCCCATGGAGATCTTAGGACACCTACATAAAACTTCACATCAGGTGAACTCCGAGCAAACTTTGACTGTCCAATCAAAATGAATGATGCTTCGGTTCTTGAACCAATCAGATGTCAGCTTTCTAAAATGATGTGGCTTCATTTCTTTACCAGTTTGATTCAGAAATTTAAAATTCAGAACAAATATATACCCTGTATAGCCACCATTTTGGGTGTTTTTGCCATGGCGCTCACAAATGACAGGATGCATAACATATGCACAATATAATAATGCAGCATTATTTTGTCCCATTTCTTGATTTGTTTCATTTTTGAGATACAGAAATCAGATATGCTTGTCTGAATGGTCCCTTCACTCCTACCGAGAATTTAGAAAAATCAACACTGATTGGTTGATTAGAAAGTTCACCTTATGTGACCTCCCATGAAGGGACGTGTCCTCTGATCTACAATCAGAGAGATATTGTATTGGGGTAAAAGATCAGATTTTACTAATTACATTTAACATAATACACTACAGCATAGTCTACATACTATTCTGGGCAGGCTAAGGGCCTTGAGGAAGACAGCAAGGGAGGGAAGGTCCATCTTGCCCCGGTACCGGACACTGGGGCACCCTTCGCTGTCCTCATCAGCATCACGACAGTACAGCACCCACACCGCTGCATCATCGGAGATGGTCACAGTTTCAGCCTCCCTGTCATAAAGAGAATACTTCAAGGTTTCAACAGCAGCTACACTAGATGGTAGATGCAATACCTAATTATCTCTGATCTGTGTGGCGTGGACTCAGGTGACATCCTGGATGGTCTAACTGATCAAGAGTGAGTGAGTGAGTTGTGTTTAACGCCGCTTTTAACAGTATTCCAGTTATATCGCGGCGTGTCAGCTTAATGTGGGAGGAAAGCCCGAAGAGATGCAGGTCTCAGTCGTTTACCACTTCGGTGAAACCCACAAGCACGGGTATGGTGCTGACAAACCTAGAAACATAATCGGGGCGAACCGGGATTCGAACCCACAATCATAGGTTTCTTGCATGCCCAAGGGACGCAACTCTGCACAGCGAATTGGGGCGCCTTAGACGACTGGGCCACCCGTGCCCCCAACTGATCAAGAAATAGCTATGGCAGTAACTTTCAATACTTCAGCTAAGGCAGGTCATGTGTTCAACATAATATCTTACAAATACTGACACTGCAACAATTAGTGCACCAGTAACTGCTCCATTGATATAAGACATGGCAAGCAGACAAGCAGCATGGTGTTTGAGGACTAGAATCATACTCGCTACAAATGCTGACAGGTTGAAAACTAGTCCCCATTTAAGATGTTCACTGTTGCTTACTTGAGCCCTTCTGCGGTCTTTGTTTCTGTCGTGAGCCCGAACTTGTAGCGATCCTGGTAAGCATAAGCCACTTCCATGAACACCCGGTGTTCTGTAATATGCACACACACACACCATTAGGTAACATAAACATGACAGACATGGAATTATCAATTCACAAAGCATGACTACAGAAAACCAACAGTAAGCAAGTTGGTTTTACCACTGAAAAGTATTTTGGTGGAAGCGATGAGCATGGATATGCTGCTGACATCCCATGAATACCACCTGAATCCCACCACTGTCTTGCTGTACTTGCAAATCAATTGTTCCTAGGCTGGTTTCTTAGAAGAGTCTGAGGGATTTTTTCTCAATTTGACTTTGTTTTCATTTAGTATGTTTATATTAAAAAGCCACCTAACATATTATGTTAGTGTCATGAAGAAAGTCCTATTATTGCACTAGACATCATCCTAAAGGTTCAAGTTACCACTTTCAGTTGGTTTGAATAAATAACAACACATTGATATCCCCTGACCTTTTAAATATATGCAAACAATCACAAAAGATATGTAATATATATCTAATTATATTAAAAAAGGTGCACTTTAATTCTAAACCTTGTGAGTACAACAGACATTGCATTTGATGACTAAATGATTCCCTATTGTTTAAATGCTTTCAATATGTTCCAAGCATTTTAGATAACCATGTTACATATATTTTCAAAACTCTAAATTCCATGATGAAATACCAAGAAAATTTAACATGTCCTGAACTGATGTATGATGTTTTTAATAAACACTGGATTGTGAGCATAATCCCACTCTGACAAGGTACAAAGTCACACAATCAGTCTGTACATTGGTTTTGTTTGTTGTTCAACGCCACACCCAGCAATATTTCAGCTGTATGACGGCGGTCTGTAAATAACAGACAATCCAGTGATTGATATCATGAGCATCAATCTATGCAATTGGGATACGATGACACACATCAACCAAGTCACCTAGCCTGACCGCCCGATTCCATTCGGTCGCCTTTCAAAACAAACATTAACCCAGATATGTATGATATCTGATATGCTTACAAAGTTTCATCAACATATCAGATTCCAAGTACATGTATATAAGAATGTGATATGCAATGCAATATATACAACATTTTTTTAACCAGTTTGAAACTGGTGCTGCAAAGCTCAAGAAAGCTGCTTTCTTATTGGCTAATGTCGTCTTCCTGTTAGTCATTTCATTGGTCAGCCCAGTTGTGAAAGGTCGTTCTGACGAGAACTTGTATCTGATTTTAATGAGATTGAGGTAATCAAAGCATGTGATTAATCCTGTTTTGTTTATTTAAAGCATTAATTGTTGATTGTTAAGCAAGTTTATCTCTGCAGCCATTGTAATATGCAGCTACCAGCCGACTTGTCTCGCATCAAAACAGGAGCTGTGTACTCGTGGGCAGATGACCAAGGAATACGCTGATCACTGTGTCCGATTAACAAGACTGATTAACGAGTGTCAGATTATCAAGACTTGACTGTATATAAGTATGTGATATGCAATGCAATGCAAAATATTCAACATGACATGCAACCAAGTCACCAAGCCTGACCTGACCTCCACTTAGTCACCTATGGCCAGCATTATTGATGGGTTCCTATTGTAACCTGGAATCCCGCCAGGAACACGTTGACATTAAACATTTTTCTTACTTTGAGTGAGCCTGGCCAAACTGTGGTTGATGGAACAAAAACATTTGTAATTAATCCTAAGTTTCTGTGTAGGTTCTAACACCAAGTCATCACTTGCTTGATAATGGTGTCAGAACCTCCACAGAAACGACACTCCTAATTGTAATAAAGAAGTTGTTCATCCATATATCTTGTCCTTACTTATTACTCCAACTTCTAAATGCCTCTCAAAGACACGATGTAATTGATCATGGTGGCTTATTAGAAGTCAAGTTTAAGCCTGGCAAACTGGGGTTGATAGCTTGATTTTTTTACTCTCCTAAATCAGCGTCAACATCGATGGAGATTTGTTTAACGACCTTTTTTGGCCTTGAGTTCCCTGGTGCAGTCACCTACACCTTCTTGAGTGAAAGGACTTCAGTGTTCAGATTACTGATGACAGTGAGGAGATTTTGATCTGCTCCACACACGCACTAAATGTCCCTATGTCCCAATGATGAAACCTAAAACCAGACCTCTATCTAGATGGTCTATCACCTGTATCTATCTGTCTGTGCTTAACACACTGCTCTACCATCCAGGATGTCACCCGAGTCCACGCCACGTACATAAAGTGGCCTTATCTGGTTATCTCAACAGCCACTACTGAGGTGTGAATGTGCCTGAAGCTTTAATGTCAATTGAATGACCTGAAGCTGGGTCTCAATGACCGTTTGGATATGAGCACAAGGCTGACATGAAGTTTCTGGCCATCAATATGATCAGTTGTACATTACCGTATTCGATGTAATAAGCGCCCCGCTCTAATAAGAGCCCACAGCATTATTTGGTAATATATTGGCTAGTGAACATTCCCAATTAGCACCCCTTCCAATTGATCAATGTACACAAGACTTATTTATTCGTGTATAATACGCACTCATGTGTAATATGCACCCTCAATAATGGGCAATTAAATTCTGGAAAAATAATATACGTATAATACGCACAGACTTGTCTTTTGTATCATTTCAGGCTGTCAGCATAAACCACGAAATTTACCATCTTTCCACTAAAATTTTATTCTAATAAGAACCCCATATTTCTAATTTTGAGAGCGCCCTGGGCGCTTATTACGTGGAATGTGGTATTTGCTGTATTAAGCACCCTGTTCCGCCCATTTGTGCTTAGACCGAACCCAGTCGTTAAATGGCTACGAGACAGTCATTAGTCGCTCTTCGGCTTGTCCCGGAATAACATGAGTTGGTCATGACTGCCACCCCCCTCCACCCCCTTGTCAATATTACAATATTTATAGAAAACACAGTGTACAAGGGGTATACAACTGCCTTCTAACTATTTAGTGCAAATTTTACTTTCATCTACGTTTACCGCAGCCCTGGCAAAAAATTTTGATACACGTATAAAAACTATCTCATCATGTATACACTGCAGTTGACAGACGCTTTATCCTTACTCGAACATATAAAAGTCAGAACACATGCCTGCATAGTGAGAAAGAAATGTGAACATTAACTATACTTGTAGTGTAACCATTGAGTTTTATTGTTAATGTCATTAAACAGTATGTCACGTGACTAACCACGGGTCCAGTTAGACATGTAGGTACCTGGGTCCTACTCAGGACCCACCCGACCTGAGTACCCGAGTTACCCGTCCCAGCCCTATAGCCTATGAATCGAATACATGTACATAAGATATGGTTGAATGGATCTCAGCTTTGATCTCACACTCTATTCAGAACATCTTATGAACAACACTTAATAGAATGTATCTTTGAATTTTAATGTCCAAAAACTGAACTTCCAAACACCTGCACAGCCCTTAAAGAGAATCACTAGTTGGAATGTGTTAGGCCATGTTTGTGAGGATGTGGGACTAAGACAGAACTAGAAGTACATTTCTTCATCTTATTCCTTGATTAAGATGATTAATTAATGCAAATGTTAGTGATGCGTTGGTCAACCCCGTGTCGTCAGTTCACGTTCTGGTGTCTGGTGTTATTTTGGTTACATTTAATTGCTTACATCGCTAGTAGTATTAACACTTTTTTTATATTGTGTTTTGTCTGCTGAGGTTCAAGTCCGCTAAGTTTGTCTGCTAGGATTCTACAAAATCACATTTCCCATTTTGCAGTTCCTGTGATGCTCTTGAGGTAACCATGGTAACTGCCCCGCTGATTGTCTAAAGTCTCTTGCACTGTAACATTGTTTCGTCTCACATTCCATCCTGTTTTGTTTATTGCTGTTGTTTTGGGGTTGCTTTTTGTTTTGTTTTCAAGCCTTTATAGCAGGTCTCAAACTTGGTGCTTTTCTGAAGGGCTGCAATGCTTTACAGGGAGTCAATATGAAAGTTATAGAGCCTATGGAAAATTGAAAGAGCCAAATTTCAGATTATATTGACAATACTGTCAAAGGATATCTAATATTTAACATGCTTAAAACCCACAAAAATCATAACATAAGCCTATGTCAGATTTCTTAGAATGTAATTTAAATTGAATCGATCAGTTCTCAATACTTCAATTTAACTACAAACTGGAACTGAATAAAACTGACCGAAAATGTAAACATATAATTTTTTCATCTCGTTCAAGCAGATGACAAGCTACAACTTTGGTGACCAGTGAAGTAAGGTTTCCTCTGGACTAGAAATAAAAAAATAGATGTAGTGAAGCCCATTTCTGGTGTCCCCCACCGTGATATTGCTGGAATATTGCTAAAAGCGGCGTAACACCATACTCACTCACTCACTCACTCACTCCAGATGTATAAGGTGAATCAAACACATGGTTCCAACAAGATGGCACCAGCTACATCCTATTATGACTATCAACCCATATGGTGCTGCCTCACACCACACTTCCTGATGTGAGAGATAACGCTTCTGGCCCCTCCGTATGTTACAGATCATACAGTGGGTGTATGCCGCGTGTGGGTGAAGCAGAAGTCCATTCTGATTTGCAACACGTGTAACCCAAAAATCAGGCCATCATAAATTACCTCAAACTTTTCATACCTCCTGTCCTAAATTAATAAAATCTGGATTGTTGAAAAAAACAAAAACTTATTATATTTATTCTTTGGGATTATGCATTTAATCATGTACTGGCTGGTTTGAAAACATCTTGACGTTAATTCCAGAAATATGCTTCCATACATCTTTTGTTTGTTGTTGATTTACTGCGAAATGATGTGTCGCTCGCAGTTTCCGCATTACTTTCCTGCTCACAAAACTTTTCAGGTTTTCAATATTTGTTTCACTCAATGAAAGACAGCCATGTACCACTGACAACCTACCAATAGTTGAATGTTGGTCCCGTGTCGGTGTACGAGAGTGGTCAACTGTACCTGAACTTTTAACACCTCAGAAATAATCCAATACTGGATTCTGCTCACTTTTGTGTACTTAAACAACAATCAACAACATTTTTTAACCCAAATTTCTGTTACACTCTACTACTAGCATGACTAGGGAGCTGTTTCATTGAATCAGCAAACTACACTTTCCTTACAAATATTTAAACCATACACACATAATCCCTAATCCTCATGATCATCATAGTGAACTGTGTATCAGGGCTGACATTATTCCAATATGGTGTCTACCCCAAGCTATTAACAACAAAACAATCACCAATTAGCATTGTATTGATTTTATCACTTCAAATATCAGACAAAGGATAGTTCCGTTTGACTCTTGTAGCACAACTGTTGAATATCTGCACTTAATTTGATCAAAACCAATCCAGATGATAAGACTAGCATTACAAAATAATCATTAGAAATAAAGGGATTTTTATAGAAGGGAAAAAAGTATTGTGAAATAAAAAAATTCATAGACTATATGATGTCTCAATTCCGGTTGACTACTGAAACCGAACAATCACAAGTAGCATTATATTTCCTACATCATGGTCACCAGTCCAATAACAAGAGAAAAAATGTTTCTTTCGTAACAACAGAGAATTCCAAGTGGGCGTCATGTTTCATCATTGCTCTATGCTGGAGCCAGCTAATGGTGTTAGGCAGCAAGCTGTTCCAGCTTGGTGTCCAGGTGATTCACTGCTGTCTTTTATTGATTTCTCTCATTTGGAACACTGGCTCCACACTACCTGAAATGGTCTGGTTTCCGGCTACGGATGTCTCTCTCAAAGTGATTGGTGGTTCTCTTAATTGACACAAATATATCATACTATAATTGCTGTAACACAACAATCCATACTTTAGCACTTGCTTCTTGTGATGAAATGATCAATCTACAGATAATGTTCATACTCCAATACTGTTCAATTTTCCCCAAATCATAAATAGTTCTAATTATAAATTCATAATGATTAAGCAAGGTGAACTTGTTGACAGAGATCCCAGTCTACAAATAATATACAGAGCTGCTTGACAGAGAAACCAATGTTTTAATTAATTGATTTTAACATGTTACTATTCGGACACACTTACAAGCATATCTAGGGAGCAACAAGAAAAATAATAAACTATTCTTATATCATGTAAATCAAGAAATTATTTTTATGAAAAATGTCCTTCATATGTGAAACATAATTCCCATTTCAAGAATTAGATGGCTATCAAACATATTTGCAAGAGAAGAACTCCTAATAACAGGGCTTGATTAAAGGAACTTCATTTAACTTGTACCAGGTGCTTGCTGACATGAAAACCTAGTTGCACCAGTAAAAATTGGGTTGTACCAGGTTTGTACCCTGATCTCATAACCCTATCAAAGATGAAATGTAGATGCATAAACAAGACAAGCTCAGATCTCTGATGACTCTGTCATGATTTTTAAGATAGTCTGTACTTTCTGTTACAGTTCTTATGTGGCAATGTCATCAATGGTGAGGTGAGGTGAGGTGAGGTGAGGTGAGGTGAGGTGAGGTGAAATTGGGTTTAACGTCGCGTCCAAAATTATTGCATATATATAGCGACATGCATGCACGTGTATGTGTGTGTGGCTGCTTGTACTAGTCTGGACTAACGCCAATTTATAGTACTATCTCACTGAGATACCATGCCGCAGTTTAACATGAATACCCCACTCAGACACAGCATACTGACTCCAAGCCAACCAGTCCTTGTTTTAGCCCCTTAATGCCGAGCGCCAAACAGGGTAACAACAAGTACCATCTTTTTACGTCTTTTAGTATGACGCGGTCAGGGATCAAACCCTGTACCTTCCTCTCTCCAGGCGGACGCTCTACCACTAGACCAAGGAGGTGGTCCTCATCAATGGTGTGTGTGTGTGTGTGTGTGTGTGTGTGTGTGTGTGTGTGTGTGTGTGTGTGTGTGTGTGTGTGTGTGTGTGTGTGTAGTGTGTGTGTGGTGTGTGTGTGTGTGTCAGAAAGGTCCTACCATTGGTACCAAAGGCCTTCTGAAAGGAGGATATAACACCATATCAGAAAGGTCTTACCATTGGTACCAATAACCTTGTGGAATGCTAAAATAATGAACTATTTAACTATGTCAAGTACACAACATTGTCTGTCACTCCCCATGAATACCATTTGGCCTTCTTGAAGAACATGATGATCAAACTGTACATTGGAACCATTGGTACCAATGGCCTGGATGAAGAATATGATGACTAATCTAAATACTTGTACCGTCAGTACCAGACTACCAGTGACCTTGAATCAGGATGATTTGTTTGTTTGATTTGTTTGTTTGTTTGTTTTTTGTTTAACGCCACACCCAGCAATATTCCAGCCATATGACAGTAAATGATTCGAGTCTGGGTCAGACAATCCAGTGATTTACATCATGAGCATCGATCCACGCAATTGGGGATCGATGGCATGCATCAACCAGGTCAGCGAGCCTGACCACCCGATTCCGTGAGTTGCCTCTTACGACAAGCATAGTCGTCTTTTACAGCAAGCATGGGTTACTGAAGACCTATTCTACCCCGGATCTTCACGGATTGAATCAGGATGAAACACCCTATGAACGTATATGAAACACACAACACTGTCACTCACCATAGGTGCCAATGGCTTTGTGGAAGGAGAAGATGACATCAGATTTGCCCCTTTGTTTCAGCTCAATCTGTTGCCGGTCAGACCGACTCTGGACGATGGGTACCTCGTGCAGCAAGATAAGCCTGGCAGGATGCAACAATGTGGACATTACCCGTGCAGTCAAGCATGATAGCCTTGAGTCATATAGTACATGTATTCACATCAAGGAACATGTCACATTCAAGACAGCAGTGTTGATTTTGTGTACACCTACACATGACCTCAGACATCAAGGTCATAAATGTCCAGGTTTTTTTTCAAATAACAAGTAATTTACAGAATATGTCATGGGTTTGTCCATTCTGGTATAGAATCATTGGCACAGTGAATTGTGAACATTCATACAATTTACTACAACTGGGCAACTTTGGTACATTCTACAATGCTTGTCCACAAGCCACACAGAAGCCACAGCTATGGTGAGTGGCACTGATTATCCAAACAATCTGTGCCCAGTTTGGCCATCAAGCTACTTACTGGAGTATGTTGGACATGATGGAGTTGACATCAAACATGGTCTCCAGCTCCAGTGTGAGCAGACTGTTGCCATCTCTGAAATATCACAACATGGAACATCAACACACATCATTCAAGTTTGGGACAATGCTCATCTGGCTCTCATTCCACAAGGTAATTGTAGCCTCACAGTTGAATCACGCTTATCTGGACCTGTTAGTGAGTGTTCTGGAGTGAGTGAGTGAGTGAGTGTTTGGTTTTACGCCGCTTTTAGCAATATTCCAGCTATATCACGCCGGGGGACACCAGAAATGGGCTTCACACGTTGTACCCATGTCAGGAATTGAACCCAGGTCATGGGCATGACGAGCGAACGCTTTAACCACTAGGCTACCTGACCGCCCCGGATCATACAATGATTTCTGCAGGCTTCTTCGGAACTAGTCAGCCCCACCCCAACCGCCCCACATGTCAAATGAAATAAATACTACACAAAAGGCTTTTTTTTTATCTGGAAAGTGAATTTCAGTTGCCAACAGTGCAAAATACACACCTTTGTAGAATTTGATAGGAGAGCTAACTCTGGTCAAGTTAACACAGGATTCAGATATCAGGAAACTTGTTTATCCGGACAATATTTGAGAAAACGCAAGTGATTGGATAAGCAGGGTCCTACTGTATGACCTAGTGAGCAGGGTTCAAAATTAAGCATGAAAGTCAGGGGATCCTTGTCATTACCCTAATGTTAAAGGATTTAGGGGTCTAGATTCAAATACCATAGGACAAGACCTCAAGGGCCCCAAAACCACACCTCGTTTCAAACACTGGTAGGTTTTGGTTAACGAATCATAGTCATAACAAGTGGAGAGCTAAGATCACTTTGTAGAATACATTATTAATCAACTGTCCTAAATACACCAGTACCATACAGTGGAGCTAGAGGGTTTGAGTTTGAGCACAGGTTTTAGTGAGTAGGGGCAAATGTTGCTTTGAACAGTATTTCAGTCGTATCATGGCGTGTCATGATCGACACAGTTTATCGAGTTGGAAGAAAACAAACGAGCAAATCTGGGAATCATTGGTTTCTGTCATGCCAAAGGGCTGAGGCTCTGTACAACGACTTGCAGCGCCTTAGGCAGCTCGGCCATCCATGCTACCAATATGCTATGCCAATATGGTGTGTTCAGCACTGTCCCAGACTACAGCCTGCCAAAGGCCAATATGATGAACGGACGGCCGGCCGGCCGGCCGGAAAGCCGGACAGTTTATTTATGTCTCATAAATGGGCATACAAACAATATGAAAGAATACAGACAAAAGCAAAACATGCTCAAGCCACTCCTACAGGAGGGACAATCAGATATGGATACACATAAAATAAGACACAGATAATATATCAAAATTGTATTCGCACATAACCAACATAGAAAATAGACTAAGATTGTAAGAAGATGAAACACGAAGTGTATAATAAATGAAGTGCCAACACACAGAATTCTCTGTTGACAATTGAGTTTACTGTGGACTTCACGACATCCCTAGACAGCTGCTCCATAATCTAACACGGACCACACCATCCAGTCATAAAGTTTTGTGTATGTCCTGTATTTCATTCTTCCCAGTGACTTGAACTTGGATATCAGAAGGCCTAGTGCTCGTCCAGCAGACTTGGTAGCTGCTTTAGCCATGAAGCTATAGTCTAGATGTTCTGTAAGGAGGCCGGGGTACGTCACCTCCAAGTCAATACCATAAAGCTCAAAGTGGAAATCTGTTTGCTGTATTGAAGGGTTTCTAAAGAATACGACTTTAGATTTTTCAGGGTTGATGCTTACCATACCAGCTATTTAAAACATCAAGCATGAGACTTGTCTCTGCAAGTAGTGCTATATCATCTGTATACGCAAGGATACATACAATGTCATAATCAAGTTTTACACCAACACCAAATTCTTTCAGTGGAATGGTGAGGTCATTCATAAACATGTTGAAGAGTAAAGGGGAAAGAAGACATCCTTCATATTTCTCTTATTTCACTGGGACCCAGTCATTAAGTTTATGAGTAAACATGGTAAACTTGTGTTCAATGTCAATAATAAGCTGATCGAATTATTTCTGTAGCTGAACGGTTGCCAAAAGAATGAGCTTCGTGTACGAATTTTCACACTTTGCTTAAAGATCTTCTTTGATAGGCATTTAGAAGTTGGAGTACTAAGTAAGGATAAGAATTTATGGAGGAACAACGTCTTTATTACAATTAAGAGCGACTGAAGCACTTCACTTCACTTGCTTGATAACGGTGTTAGAACCTACACCAAAACGTCACTCTTAATTGTAATAAAGAAGTTTACCATCCATAAATTCTTATCCTTACTTTGCTTGAAGAGTTTCAAAGTCAATTACTTGTTCACTTCTTACCTTTTTAACAGAATTGTCTGAAATATTGCCCTGATCAGTTAATGATCCCTTCCTAGAATGGGAATGCAGTGATGTTGACGGTGAACCAGATTTTCCACACACATTGTGTATGTCCGCCATTGTCTCGATCTCACTCATTTTCAATCAACTGTGACAGGTGTATTATCAGATGTCCCCAAAACCACAGACTTCTGTCCAGTTGAATGTCGGCACTTCTGCAGTCTTGTTAGTTTTTTGGCCAATATGACAGATTGACACCCATATAATCTAGGTACATTTCCTAAGGTCACACATGCTTATAACAAAACACACATGGCAGTATTAGCTTTTGAAGTGCAACATATTAGTACTTTAAAAATAGCAATTACTGCCAAGTGTGTAGTACCAGTAAAAGAATACATTGACATTCATCAGTGCTGACCTGTAGCTGTAGACGTTGTACTCGACTCTGGCTGTCTTACACTCCTCCACCGTGCTGGCAGCATCGCCGCTACAGTCCAGCTACAAATACAAGCAATTCCTAAATCCCCAGGTACTCACAACCATTGATGCTATGGAAAGGTAAAAATTGTGAACTGTAAAACAATCACACCTCTATGTTCTATATATGTACGGGGCGGTCGGGTAACCTTGTGGTTAAAGCGTTCGTTCGTCACGCCGAAGACCCGGCTCAGAATCCCGACATGGGTACAATGTGTGAAGCCCATTTCTGGTGTCCCCCGTCGTGATATTGCTGGAATATTGCTAAAAGCGGCGTAAAAACCAAACTCACTCACTCACTCACTCACTCACTCACTCACTATATATGTACATTTACAATGTACAATGTGTGAAGCCCATTTCTGGTGTCCCCCACCGTGATATTGCTGGAATATTGCTAAAAGCGGCGTAAAAACCAAACTCACTCACTCACTCACTATATATGTACATTCACCATCAGTGCTGGAAATAACCTGAGACCTTGTGTTACGATATGTACCAAGAAACTGACTGACGATACTACTGGTATCACAATACACCACAAGAAATAGTAAGAAATTATGAAATCACTGAAACTATAAAACCTTTGGCTTCATACATTTCACAACCTTTTTCTCTATTTGAGGACTTTTCTAACCTGAACTTTGCCAAAATTGAAGATTATTACCACCACATCTGCCTGTTCCACCATGCTTATAGGTGGCACTGTGCTACTTCCGCCATTATGGGAGGTAATTCTATCAGTTCTGGTTTTATTTTAGCATACCACGATCTCGCAAACAATTCCAGTATCATCTGTACCTAAGTATCAATGACATCCTAGGGATCGGTGAATTGTTACATCTCCAGTGTTTGTTTGTTTGTTGTTTAATGTTGACTCAGCATATTCCAGCAAAATGATGGCGGTCTGGACCAGACAATCCAGCAATTGATATCATGAGCATTGATCAACGCAACTGGGATACGATGACAGGCATCAACCAATTCAGCGAGCCTGACCACCTGATCCCGCTAGTCCCCTCTTACGACAAGCATAGAAGCCTTTTACGGCAAGCATGGGTTGCTGAAGACCTATTCTACCCTGGATCTTAACGTATCTTCAAATGTCCAATATAATTTGTTTTGAACCAACCGTTATCTGTAAATGCTGCTTTTGTAGCTGAAGGATTATTGATATATCCCTGGAACACATGATGTCCATGAACGAAAATGTGCCCGGGTCGGATCCAACATCCTTGAACATCCCCGATCTTCACGGGTATACAGCTCTAATGACCAAGATTACAATACAACATACTTATCATTCAAGTAGTGAGTGTTCACCATGTTACTTACAATGCCAGTCTTGGTGCCATAGATGTCCAGGTACTCGGCTGACTTGTCCAGCTCCTTGAAGAAGGCGCGTAACCGTGGCAGTTCTGAAACACACAGACAGGCACTGACAACTAGCACACAACCATGCTCTATGGTCTGCATGAAAGGTGAGGTGAGGTGAAATGGGGTTTAACGTCGCGCCCAAAATTATTGCACTTATATAGCGACGTGCATGTACGTGTGTGTGTTTGTGTGGCTGCTTGTACTAGTCCGATTTATAGTGCTAGCTCACTGAGATACCATGCCGCAATTAACATGAATACCCCACTCAGACACAGTATACTGACTCCGAGCCGACCAGTCCTTGTTTTAGCCCCTTAATGCCGAGCGCCAGACAGGGTAACAACAAGTACCATCTTTTAACGTCTTTTGGTATGACGCGGCCGGGGATCGAACCCCGGACCTTCCGCTCTCCGGGCGGACGCTCTACCACAAGACCACGGAGGCGGTCCTGCATGAAAGGATAACTCCTGCAGCTTTAGTGAATAAGTGTGTGAATTTGGTTTAATGCCACTTTGAACTGTGTTTCAGTTATATCACGGCATGTCAACTTGATGTGGGAGGAAATGCAGGTCTTACTCTTAGACATTGTAAACTTACAAACCCACGAGCATGGGCATGGTGACAAACTTTTAAATACAACTGTGGATTCAAATCCTGATCCTTCTGCAGATTTATCAAGTTTAGATTCTATATATTAACACTGAAGGCTAATTAGCCACTTGCAGAAACATTTACCTGCCCTGTTCATAAGTTACATCTGCTGCACTTATGGCCATATATCATGTATATAGACATTCATTATTTCAGTGAATTCTTTTTTTATCACTGATATGAAGTATTGCATCCTGGATTCATTCAGCAGAAAAAAAACACATTTTATGTTGAATGATTATTGAATATAATTCCCTTCTTACAACAGGATTATTCAGAAACTATAACATCACTACATTGTACCTTTGTATGTCATATTTCATAAAACAATCACCCTATTCCCACTTCTGCAGATCAGGATTCTTTATAGGATTCTAACAATAATGTCAACGAAAGTGGCTCATGCACGCGCGCTCGCATGCGCATGCACATTAAATTGACATGACATATGTACTAAGGCTGGGACGAGTCTAAATTTACTACCCGGGTACCCGACCTCCTATTACTCGACCCTACCCGGGTACCCACTCTAGGTCTCATGTTACAAAAGGTACAAAATGTTCAAATGGGAAGTTATTTTACTGGAGTATAAAATGATCTGATCATGCATATACTAGAGTTGACTGAAGCTTTGTCTTTACTCAAACATATAAAAATCAGAAGGAATGTGTGCACAGTCGGAAAGAAATGTGAACATTAGCGACTTGTACTTAAAAAGTGTAACCAAGAAATTCTATTGTTAACGTCATAAAAAGATATATCACATGACTAACCACGGGTCCGGTTAGTCCTGTGTGTACCTGGGTACAACTCAGTGCCCACCAGACTCGAGTACCCGAGTCCCAGGCCTAGCATGTACCCCCTTCCCTGAAGTCACTGACCAGGAGGTGACCCTGCTCCTCCTCACTGACAATGATTTATGACCCATCATCTCTTCAGGTAAAAGGTAACATGATCTCTCAGTATTCACATCAGAAGATCTAAAGATTCACCACACAATATACTGAATGAGTGAGTATTATCACCGAAGATAAAAGTCACCTTAACAGTGTCTGCATGTCTGTTTTAAATTGAAATTGAAACAGGGGATGCATATTAGCCAGGGACATAGGAACGGGGACACATATTGCCCATACCAAAAGATGTTAAAAAGTTGGTACCTTTTGCTAAACCCATTTCACCTCACCTCATCTATTTTTTGCACCAGGGCTGGGACGGGTAACTTGGGTACTCGGGTTGGGTGGGTACTCAGTAGGACCTGGGCACCCACAGGACTACCCGGACATGTGATTAGTCATGTGACAAATTGTGTAATGACAAAAATTCACCGCAACTCCATGGTAACACTACAAGTACTAACGTTCACATTTCTTTCTGAACATGCATGCTTGGATAAAGATAAAAACTTCAGTGTATGCATGACCAGATCGTTTTATACGTGTATCAAAATACTTTTTGCCAGTAATAATTCCCAATTGGACATTTTGTTCCCAACATTTGAGAGCTACAGCGGCTACCCAGGTAGGGTCATATAATAGAGGTTCGGTTCCCTGGGTTAGTCATCTCAGCCCTATTCTCCACTAAGTATTTCTTCATGTCAAACAAGGAATACACAATTCAGAAACTGAGCATAAGGCTTCACCAAAAATATATGTAGATTATTTGTTGATGGTTCAGTGGTCACTCTGCATGTTCTGTGAGGCTGGGCCCCCTATATTCATCATATCTATGACCTGACGCCCTAGTAACCCCAGGACTCACCCAGGTCAATTCCAAATATGAACATGCCAAATGGAGCAGAATGGAGCCCAAAATGACCACATATCGCTTTTACACCCCGTTCACATCCACAACATTTTCTAACGTAAGTAATTTTGCACATGTGTAACTTTACATACGTGTGTATATGTAAATTTACTATGCGTTCACAGGAAAATTAACTTAGGTGTGTAAATAAAGTATGTAAATTGTGTAAGGCACACATATTCGTCAGTCTGTTCACGACTTTCAACAAAAAAACAGGTTGTTTTCCAATCAAAGTTGAATGAGTAGAGAGTTACTTCACCGAAACTTTTCGTGTGAAGCAACATGTGTTTGATTTAATTTGTACACAAAGTTTTGACTCCTTGAACATGTTGAAAGCAAAAGAAGACGCTGTCCGCTCAACTCTGTATATACACATAAAAGTTGGCAACTGTTGACAATTTGTTTGGTGTTGGCAAAAGAACATATATTAATTAGATCATCCTCTAAACAAAACATAAACGTTCACATTGCAACATATACACACAGTGCAATATTTACATTTACATTTGCACCTGCTACTGACATGATGCAAATTTGCTCCTGGTGTAAATATACATACATGAGTAAACGCGTTTAAATGACAAGTTTACTCACTTATGTATTTCTACACACGTATGCACATATAAACACATATGTATTGAGGTGCATGTGAACGGGTATTACAAAGAGTGTAGCATATGTACAAAAATGTTCAACTTGGTAAAAATTTGTTGAATGAGTTGAACATGTTTAACACATAAACAAAAAACAAAAAAAACCTTTGACACCTAATTATAACAAAAAATAATTCAGCAGAAGCTTGCATTTATAAGGAAATTGCTAAACCACATCAATCACGTAAATTATATTACATTTACTACTGGGATATAAATGTATATATATATATAACATTCACAAACAGCCAGTAGCTTATTTGAGCCATGTGAACATGGTGAACAAAAACCAATAATTTTATCATGTTTATCACACCATGACTTCAACCCTTCTCTTCTAATATGTTCATTCTGGTGTCCCCCGCCGTGATATTGCTGGTATATTGCTAAAAGCAGTGTAAAACCATACTCACTCACTCACTCTAATATGTCCAGCTTATCATGAACACTAAGACTTTTCTAGGATTCAAAATAAGTGCCCTTCCCAGGTAAATTTGGATTTTTTTTTTATTTTGTCAAAAATTGAGATTTTTAGTTACTATTTTCAGAAGTATTTGGAGATTGCAGTGAATAACACTGCATTCAATGCAGTGATGTACCATGAAGCCTATTCCATTTTCTCGTTCTAGTATCTGAGGAATAAAAGTCACCTCGACCAAGCCATCACATTAGTTATAACTATATTACATGAAAGAGGAATTTGTTTTATTCTCATTTGGTGATTTTGACTGACATTTGCTGCAGACTTATCTAGAGCAGGTGCAGACATACCCCGGAACATGACACAAATGTCTAGGGTATAATCAGATCATGTTACCTAAACAATCACTGATTAAGGTATGCCCTACTAGGTTTCAGGGTTCTGGGAAAAAGAGCTCTTCCACTTTGAAATCTCATACACATCAAATTGTACTTCCATGTAAGAATACTTATGCTCCAAGGCAATTAAATCATTTCGATAAATATGACCTAGCTCGGAACCATAACCTAGGTTTCAGTATGTCAAAGCCTGATACCACCAGCCAAACAAATACAGGTATTTGTTCTTTGGCTAAAGATTAACTGAGGAAACCTTAACCAGGTGAAAAGTCCAGTGATCTTAGCAATAAGGTGATCGTAACTTCCATACCTTAACATAGACTTACGACAGTCGTAGTGCTAAGGTTGTTTTGTACAACGACACCCAGACCTATGTTTGACTGTTTTACAATTCAGTATGAACACACTCAGCTATCAAACTTAACAATTTCACAAACAAATAATGAATTCTGTAAATTCACTTGTCTGTCATACAGTCCCTGAAACAAATATATCCAATACAGCCAATGCAAGTCTATAATGTTTGGTAAGTCTAGCTTACTGCAGTATCAGGAAAAAAAAGAAAGTCTCTGGACTCCTTTTTATTATATTTTATAACTATAAGTTAATTACTGTTTTTTAGGTAAAATATGTTCATTTCAGAGACTAGATGTTAGTCTATAAATTCACCTCAATCTCATATACTGCAGGTGTTAAGCAGAGGCAGGCAACGAACAATCTTTGGAATAGAAGACAAGAAAGCTTGTCCAAACAGAACTCATCGGAATATGAACATGATGAATATTCATGTACAAGTTTCAGGATTCTCTTCATTATTATTTTGGCTTGAAGCATGGAGAGATTGGGCATGGGGACTAAGTCCTTGACTGAATAGACATCAGTAGTGATCAACACAATGTGATGTGAACATTACTACTGCCTATTGATATGTGCATAGCTGACAGGGCTGGCAAAAAAAATCGATAATCGGAATTATCATCGATGGGAAGAAATATAAATATTATAGATATAAAAATTGTGTCATCAATAATACCTTACATAAACTATTGTGATGAAATAAAGATTTACCAAAACAGACTTGTTATTGTCAATAATGTTAATTACTGAAAATGGAGTGAGTGAGTGAGTGAGTGAGTGAGTGAGTATGGTTTTACGCCGCTTTTAGCAATATTCCAGCAATATCACGGCGGGGTACACCAGAAATGGGCTTCACACATTGTACCTATGTCGGGTCCACTAAGTAATCCCTGACTAAATCTGCCACCACTCACCTGTGGAGATAAATATGTTTATTTCTTCAGGATTTTTTTCTACAACACTTATCCGATATTTATCGATAATTGATCGATATTCAGTTAACGATTATCGATCTCTATGATCTGTATCGATAGACAGGCCTAAAAGTTGATCACACCTTTCAATTGTGAAACCGTTGACATGGTTAAGAAACTTACAAACAAAACACTAAACATTGGAACTATGCTTTCATAAAATTATCACGATTAAGAGTATCTAGACAAATTCTCAGCATCAAAGGCTCCACGTACAAAGTCACGAGACCAACATCTTGACTCTGAAATGAATGAATTGTACTATGAAAGTCTTCTTCTTATTAACAGGAGTTCTTATCACAAGGAGATAACGTTAATGGCACACATTTCAAAATATCAAAGTTGTATTCACCATATTTGACTGTTTTCCATAATTCCATGAGCTATGTTAACTTGCTGGCCAAAACATTTTGTTAGATGATACTCGACCTAGCCTTGATTTTTCAGGTACTCATAGTTAGGTCATCATCACCAGGCAAGGGAGTTAACTGACTATAAAGACCAGTTTCTACCCTTGCCGAACTAGGCTTGAATTATTTAATTATATTTTGCTTGGACTAATGAGTCTATGCATCGTCCAATCAAAATCTCGTAACCAAAATTGAAATCCGGCTAGAAAACTGCCGTGGAAAATTTGGTTGATTGCAGGATTTGCAAAGCATGTGTACTGCCAACTCTGCATCAATAGATATTTCAAAATCTCTTCATATTTACAATCAAGGTGCTCATGTGATTTGAAGCACTTCGCAAAGTAAGAACAGTTTTATCACAATGTAGCTTTATATTATCGATCAGATCATCTTGATTGGGCGCCGCCATTTGGTTTGAAGCAAGTGATGTGAGAGGTAGTTTGTTTTTTTGTTTTACGCTGCACTCAGCAATATTCCAGCTATATGACGGTGGTCTGTAAATAATCGAGTCTGGACCAGACAGTCTAGTGATTTACATCATGAACATCGATCCACGCAATTGGGATAGATGACATGCATCAACCAAGTCAGCAATTCTGACCACCCGATCCTGTTAATCGCCTTTTACGACAAACATAGTTGCCTTTTACGGCAAGCATGGGTTGCTGAAGACCTATTCTACCCCGGATCTTCACGGGTCATGTGAGAGGTGGAATCTGATTGGTCAACAGGAGGGACATAACTGATAATAGCCACTGGTGGTGCTATGTTTGAGGCCAGAAATTTCAGCCTAGTTCGGCAAGGGTGGAAACTAGACTTTTACAGTCAGTTAACTCCTTTACCTCGGGAAGTTGATTAGTGGTTAACTGGTTATTATCATGCCTGCTATCAGATTGACGCTGTGTGCTACCAGTGTGTATCTGCCATCATATAGATAGGCTGAGTTAGACCATGTAGATGGCTTTTATGTCACTTTTAGCAATGTTCCCACAATATCACCTCGCGGGACAATAGAAATGAGCTGGTGAACGGAACCCGGGGTTACCTGCATGACAGTCATAGATCACAATATTGCAGAGTGTGTGGTTAAACACCAGACACACAGTATGTCTTTAAACAGCCTGGCTAACAGGATATAGCTTCACTCAGACAATATGTGACCGCCACCAGGATACACATGATCATGCTTGTGCATGTTTCCGTCGGTAATCATTGTTGTCATAAAAAATAATAATAAAAAATTGCATATGACTACAGATTTCCCACTTGATTATTTGCAGACCGCTTGAATAGCTGGAATATTGCCGAGTGCAGCATTAAACACCAAACCAACCAAAACAACCACAGCTACTGTCTCAGTTAAATAGCACTGTGTGAGTGGAGCATAGAACCTAAGGATTGCGAAGGGTGTTTGATTGGAGTGAGTGAGTGAGTGAGTTTGGTTTTACGCCGCTTTTAGCAATATTCCAGCAATATCACGGCGGGGGACACCAGAAATGGGCTTCACATATTGTACCCATGTCGGAATCGAACCCGGGTCTTCGGCGTGACGAGCTAACGCTTTAACCACTAGGCTACCCGACTGCCCGTTTGATTGGAAAGGGGTGCCTTACTCTAATAAGTGTAAAGGTGTGCTTAATCTGAAAGGGGATGCAAGAACTAAGGATAGAGCTGGGGGTAACCTACCCTAACCCTAACACAGCTAACCTATCTGCAAAATCTCAGAAATAAACTGCTTCCGCCAGTTGTTAATAGAAGATATGTCAGATAGTAAAAGTGGAGCAGTACATAGCTTCGGTTTCACAGCTTCAAAATCCTGTGTAAGGATCAAGAGTGAGTGAGTGAGTATGGTTTTATGCCGCTTCTGGCAATATTCCATCAATACACGCCGGGGAACACCAGAAATGGGCTTCACACATTGTACCCATGTCGGGAATCGAACCTGGGTCTTCGGTGTGACGAGCGAACGCTTTAACCACTAGGCTACCCGACCGCCCCTATGGATCAAGAAGGCAAGCAAGATTACATTTATACAGATATCCCAGACAAGTTACGCCAGAGTGAGCTCCGAAGTGCAGCTAATTGTGACAAATAAATTTACATGTAAATTTACTGCAGGCCGTAAGGACCCATGCAAATGGAAAACTATTGGCCTGACACAAGATTTACAAGCCACGGACCTTCAGGCAGGCGCTTATTTCAAACTCTGTTTATAAGTTTAAGGTCAAATTAATTTCATATGTATTATAATCCAGGTAATTTATTCTCAGTATTCGCAGATATGTGTGTCCAGTTCGCACAAATGTATAGAATGGATGCAGAAAAAAATATATGATGCGTCTCAAGGGACACACAATATTATTCTTCAGCCAAATCAATGATTAAATCTTATAGTACAGTACACTACACCATTTCATTAATTTACAGGAGCCTTATAATTCCTAAAGGAACCTTGAAATTGGGTAGTTATTTGGGGTCCTCTGGACCCCTTGTTTTGCAGATCATTCTAAAACCTTGATGCTTCTTTGAATGAAGAAACTCATTGTGTCAGATTAGCAATGTTTGAGTGAACGTATGAGGAATTGTTAGACAACAAAGGAACTATGAAAATAATATGGGCCTACTGTAAGTTTCAAACCTGATCTAAGAAAAGCATATGCATGGAGAGGTGTATTTGACAAGGTTCCATCTGTGCACCCCTGAAAAATCTCTAAAGATGCTTACAACATGTACAAGGATTGGATGATCCCAGTATATAAATCCGAAACTGAATACCAGATTGCCATTTCTTGCACAGATAAAACATATTGGGTTAGTTCGATAAATTAGACAAAAATGAAAATTTTGTTTAGTGCAGGATGTATAGTGTCTTATAAAGAAGACTATGCAGTGCCAAGATCTGCCATATAGACTTGTCACCAGATGTTTGTATAATTCATACTGAGGGATTATCTCTTCCATGAGCGGGTGCTTGTGCGTGAATTCCAGGCAGTTACCGGAACACTGGTGTGTGTGTGTGTGTGTGTGTGTGTGTGAGAGAGAGAGTGTGTGTGTGAGAGAGAGAGAGAGAGAGAGAAACACCCGTATCTAACCTGGGGGTGGGGTTCTTTCATCTATAAATTCATGAAGGCTAGTTGTAATCAGAGAAGCGCGATCAGCAGCGTGTAAACAGCTGCCCTGCCCACTAGATATCTGCCATTTATAAAATACACAGAAAACATCTCACCACGCTTGTAGTAGTAAATCACACTGACGAATGGCTTATGTTGAAGTGACGTATGTGATTCAGGCGTCAGGATCTCTACATGCTTGAAGTCAAATGGAATCGAAGGCTCCGCACATACAAATGCTACGAGTAGGCCCAGGACGATATTCCAGATGCTGCCAATGCTGAATATTAACGCCATGTCGAGCAGGACACTGTTCAACCTCCTACACCGATCTACAGCCACCCACTGTAAACATACTGTCAAGCAAAGCACATTGACACGGCTTCCGGCGGCAGATTGACCAATCGAAACGCCTCAAATGGATCTTCCTCATACAACGCTCCAATGAGCTTCAACCGGATTTAGTCGCTATATCATTTGCCGAATGTTCACTTGCATAATACATTCACGCGGGCGTATTAAAAATCAATATAGTACCAAAAAAAAGCCTCCGGCAAAAGCGACAAAGACAAATACTGAAAACTGAATGGCAGAACACGTGCAAATGGACGCACATTATAATAATAGACACGAAATTTACCTGTTATGTAAGGTAAAAACAATGCCATAACAATGATTAAAGAACAGGGTCCATTAAAAAAAATAATAAGATCTCGACCTGATTTATGCAAATTTCAACTACTTTATGTTATGCAGGAAAGTCAAATAACTTATTTTCACTTTCATGTTCAAATTTTCATTGGACCCAAATTAGACATTTGTTTATGAATGGACAAAAATATATATTGTTTATTTGCGTTTTAACGCCGCACTCAGGAATATTCCAGCTATTTGACGGCGATCTGTATATAATCGAGTGTTGACCAGACAACCCAGTGATTAACATCATGAGCGTCGATCCATGCAATGTGGGATGCGATGACATGCATCAACCAAGTCAGCGAGCCTGACCACCTGATCCCGAAAGTCGCCTCTTACGACAAGCATAGTCGCCTTTCGAGATGTACAGCACTTGACACTCATTAAGTCAATTTTAATTGGATGTTGTTCTGTTTCAGTTGCAGATGCGATTTTACTGTACATTTTTTAATGTTTTAGTTTATTGCTCTTCTTATATGCATTTGATTTATATAAGTATTACACAATGTACAGAATACCGGACAAAAAACACAGAGAAATTGGTTACAGCACGAAAATTCACCGATATTTCCATATTATACAATACCAAGTATGATGATATTGTGGAGAAAATTATCAGCATTTGGGAGGTAAGGAAATATTCCTATGAGTCTGTCTAGCTTTTGGTACTATATTTAGTTGGTGTTCGTTATTATTTTATTTTGGACCCCCCCCCCCCCCCCCCCCCCCCCCCCGCCAATTTAACTTCAAATCTCATCCTTATCTCAATGCTTTTTCGATTTGTGTAAAGCTGTATTCAGGATTCAGGAGCAATGGGACTCAGAGTGGAAAAATAGATGGTGTTAGGTGGATTAGGGTGGGCAGGGTGGATCAGGGTGGGTATGTGTGGGTGGGTGGCACCCTCATACATTCACTCACTCACTCCTCGAGCATAAATTGAGCATATCTAGTAGAATATCTGATACAGAACTGATTTTTGGGTGTCATGGTGTTCGTCATATTCGAAGTCGACTGCATATATATGTAGTAAACAAGGGATAACTTGTGATATATGTGATTAGATAGTCCTGGGTGGGTTGGAAATTGGTTGACTCATAAATCAATCTTGACAACAAAACATCGATCAAAGCAGATAACGACAACATATGTTGTGGTTATTACCGGTCGTGGAATAGCTAGTTATTGTCGGACTATACAGGACAAGTGAATATTATTTTTGTTTCCATTATCTAATCCTTGCCCAGAGTCCCTTCTAACTAAATATGATTTCTATAATTCCGAATTATAAATTACGTTTCACCTTTCGATGCGAATTGAAACTGAACTTTGCTATAGGCAGTCAACGCCAATCTGAAAAGTGTACGTTGCAGAAAACAAGAAATCCATTAGTCTTATTTTTTTCATATGTGAACAAATTGTGAAGTTTTGGGAAGGGCTAGAGGTATGTTGGTCTCAGACAGTGCCAATATGAATAGCTGTTACAACATTTACACACGGTGCCTGGCCCATAGCATGTGTTAACATATAGCTCCCTCGGTGTGACGACGTCCTTCTAGCAGTAGATGAAATAAACTGCATGCCGAGCAAAAGAAAATATACACTTGAAAATTGGACTGAACCATATAATTCCCAAACGTTACTATTCTGAAAACATTCACCGAAACATGAGACGCGTAACTATACACGTGTTAAATACATCCCCATCGAATAACCATTTCTTGTTTGTTTCAGTTATAGCCCTCACCAAACACGAGCGTATTTTGTCCGGCAGTCTAGTTATGTATAGGATAAAACACGTCCGAGGGTTGTTATGATATTTAAAGGGTTTTAAATATCATAACAACCCGAGGGGAAGTGCTTTATCTTACTTATAAACCGAAAAAAAGAAACTTTAAACAACATTTATCAACATTTATCAACAAAATATCTGTTGCTGGCATACGGATCTTGAAAAGGACATTCTAAAAGCAGTGCGACTTATCAACGCCTCTCTAACCTAGTGGTACACTCACTGGGCTACAGAAACGAAGGTTGCGTGTTCAATCCTCGGGAATATAAAGAAAATATTTGTCATTTGATTTTACATTTCATTACATGTTACAATCTGAACGGAAGTTATATTAATAAAATACCCAGGACATTATATAAAATCCCTGGGATGTTATAACACATTATATAGCAAATATGACTTGAATATCCTATAAAATCCCAGGGACATTACAACGTCCCGGTTTATGAGATTTAACCCGACTGGAGAACAATAGGATGACGTCACCGGAGGTTTATAAATATATCTAGTAAAGGGAGACTGTAAATGCTTCAGACTGTGGTTCCAATGTTTAGTCTATGTCAGGGTGTTGTCATAATGCCATGCTTGAAATTAAGAAGATTACTTTTGATATCATAGTTATACTTTGTATGTATAATCATATGTAATAAATAGAGAGTTGGTTATGTACAAAATGATTGCCTTTACGGAAATGGATCAAACTTGGGTAGACTGCCATATTGGCAGTGCATTGTCCCCTTTAATACTGTGGAGGTATAAGGTGAGGTGAAATGGGGTTTAACGTCGCGTCCAAGATATTATTGCACTTATATAGCGACGTGCATATCCGTGTGTGTGTGTGTGGCTGCTAGTCCGGACTGATGCCGATTTATAGTGCTAGCTCACTGAGATACCATGCCGCAGTTTAACATGAATACCCCATTCAGACACAGTATACTGACTCCGAGCCAACCAGTTCTTGTTTTAGCCCCTTAATGCCCCCGAGCGCCAGACAGGGTAACAACAAGTACCATCTTTTAACGTCTTTTGGTATGACGCGGCCGGGGATCGAACCCCGGACCTTCCGCTCTCCGGGCGGACGCTCTACCACTAGACCACGGAGGCGGTCTGTGGAGATATAAGCAGGTAGTCAAAGAGGCAATTGCGGGACTTTTGTTTATAAAGTACACGGTGCTTGCCTGACAAATGTGCGAGTCTATTCCGAAACGTCAGAACCCAGGCGTAGACATTTACCATCCAAATATATGCTCGTTAATCGTCTACAGCGGGTTATAAAAGTGTTGGGTCAATAAAAGGTCCACGGACACCTGATACACATCGTTAATCATATTTATATGTTGTTTTAATAGGTTTTCACAAACCGCTGAGGACTGGATGTACCATATCTCCTACTCCTGCGCACGGTTATAAATTAGAATTAACCACCCTAGAATGGCTGGTGTACAATAATAAGTTAGGGATATTGAGACATATGACAAAGCTGTTATCCACTAACAGTGATTCCAACTCAACAAAAGGTTGTTTCTAAAAGATTTTCATCGAGGCGACCAACAAGGGACTTGGCCGTTAATTTTCAATATTTATGTTATTTAATTTGAAGTGAACTTGTCATCGATTGATGTTACCTATATAGCAGCACACAACGCAAGTACGTCAGATATTTATAAATCGAGATTATGACAAAAGCATAGTCATAATTCTTGAAAACTATAACTAAAAAACTAAACACTCAAGAGTATAGACCAACATCTCGTCTCTGAAATGAACAGAAATTATAGTTATAAAATATAATCAAAAGGAGTCAAGAGACTTTCTTTATTTTCATTTCCTGATACTGCAGTAATCTAGATTTGCCAAACATTATAGACTTGCATTGGCTGTATTGGATATATTTGTTTCAGGGACTGTAAGACAGACCAGTCAGAGTACTTCACAACTGTTCTTGTACAACGATATACGTATTTTACCACCGCTTACTTACGCTCCACTGACAAGTACATGAGTGAGTGAGTGAGCTGGGTTTAATGCCGCTTATAACAGTATTCCAGTTATATCACGGTGTGTCAGCTTAATACGGGAGGAAAGGCCGAAGTGATGCAGGTCTCAGACGTTTACAACTTCGGTGAAACCCACGATCACCGGTATGGTGCTGACAAACCTAGAAACATAATCGGGGCGAACCGGGATTTGAACCCACAATCATAGGTTTCTCTGCTCAGCGAATTGGGGCGCCTTGGACGACTGGGCCAGCCGTGCCCCCGATGTGTACATGACATAGTCAGGCGAGGTGAAAATATAATTGGGTTTATGGTTCAATTTAATCACAAAGTGACATGCATGCACGTGAGTTTGTGGCTGTTTGTACTAGTTGGGACTAATGCCGAATTTATACACTAGCTCACTGAGATACCATGCTGCACTTTAACATCAATACCACACTCAGACACGGAATACTGACTCCGAGCCGACCAGTCGTTGTTCGTTCTAGACACTTAATGCCAAGCGCCAGACAGGGTAACAACAATTACCATCTTTTAATATCTTTTGGTATGCCACGGCCCAAACTTTCTGCTGTCCGTGCAGAAGCTCTACCACTAGACCAAAGAGTCGGTCTCATAACATGGTACCTCAGCAGAGGTAGTCATGTTACAGTGTCATACAAAAGGATTCACATATAGAATGTTACCTGATGCTACTGAAAAGAATAACCAGGATTCTAATGAACCTCAATTAAAACACAGGACCTGGTATCTATATATGACATAAATCAATATGAAAGAGGATACTTATTTATGGAGAGCTATTTTATGAAAGAAAGGAATATTTACCGCTAAGTGCAGCTCCAATGAGTACAAGATACAGACAGTGACTGAGTTAACTTAATTGGGGACTGGGTGCACAAATTCCAGGAATAAAAACTTGATGGGAGATAGCCTTTGAGGGGCTTAGCTTCAGATACCATACCATGGGATAGACATTATGGTCTGGTCACTAATAATTTGTTCAGTATTTTCCTTTTAATAGCCAGGTTTTATAGCAGTTAAAGAATTGTCGGAAATAAATGTGTCATTCCAAATATATTTCACACCATGTCTCCTCATGTGACAAACATCACAACCTAACGTGGACATGGTCCATGAAATCAACCACTGATATAACTGTGATACATTCACTCTATACAGCCCTTAACTTAAAAACACCCAATGGTTATCACTATGTTCAAGGTTATACAGCTTCTAGAATCCACAACAGATGAGTTACATGACAGGGTAACTGATGTCCATCAGCATATGCTTGCACATGGCAACTAAATGCATCGGGTGTCAGATGGGCGTGACACTGTACCCTAACAAATAAAACAAACTCAGTTTACCTGAAAGAATACACTTTATACAACAGGACGAAGTTTTTGTATAAACATGACAAGTATACCTCAGCAGCAGTTATTTGTCAAATTTCTCATTAAATCATTTCAGATATAGTTTTTAAATATATCAATACTACTTACAAGAAGCTAAGGACCGCCTGACTCTTTCATATTACTATAGTTAATTTTCCATGCTATGATAAATTAACTATAGTAATATGAAAGAATTGGCTAGTCCTTGACGTCTTTTGAGTAGTTTACATACAAGATATATGATGACATTCAACTACACATTTGATGAACTGATTTCTTTTCAATGAATAATACTGTTGGGGGGTCATTAGAAATGTTTTTTAAATCTACATTCTCATTATTGCAGTTCCAAATTTGTTTAAGAGTTACTATTTACAATGATTCAGCATCCATGTGTACATTATATTAGATATTCTCATCAAACGGCAGTGTTTCATGCATAAAAACAACAAACAAAAAACAATGAACAACGTACATGCAGGAAAATGCCTTAGCATGTTAACTCATCTACATTATGCTCAACAAACAACCAATTACAGCCACACAGTGTGCCACACTGTGTCTTAACTATGTGTGTTTAGAGACCAATTCAAATGTTTGATGTCCAATAAAAAAACACCTTAATTCCTCAAGTTTATGGCCCTGCCAGTTTTCCATCAGACAAAATCCACTGACCTGATTTCTCAATGTTTCATCCAGTAACCGAACTAAACCAATCCTATTTTCATTCATATTCTTTGAGGAGATGTCATTAAATATATCCAGTCTTTCTACAAGGAAGGTTTTTTTCATCGCCGGCAAGGGTCCATCTAGTGCAGTGCATTATACATGATAACAGACTTACTTAATAAAAACCCTACAAATGATTGTCAACACCTATTAATTAACTTCATGCTATAAAAAAAAAACAGGGAAAAACACAAGATAGCAAGGGAAAAAAAGACCTCTAAATCCGGAATTCAACATTTTCAGAATTAAATTTTTTTGGTGAGTAGGGAGATATGTCTCAAAACTTAAGGAATTCAGTTTGTTTATCTGACATCCAACTTTTGAACCAGTCCCTTTCCCAGTCATGATATGCCTCACTGAGTCTCACCTTGTAACATTGTGTGGCAATGCTATGACAATGTATGGCATCAAGTGCACAGCTAATTTCAACTGCTATATCATGTTGCAAAACATACTAGAATATTCTCATCAGATTGTGTACTCAAAAGACATCAAATGTGTCTCCAAATTTAACAATATCTTGGGACAATGATATAATAATATTCGTATATGGCGATATGTATCATATTGCAACCTTTATTTCAAAACAAGTATTAGACAATAAATATTAGACAATATGCTGGTCTAGGAGACAAAAGCCAGAAACATTCAAGCAATTTTCAAATACAGGTGTCCCAAATTTCCATTGAAAGTTTGATATGTAGGTCTTCTTATTTTATTTACCTATATTTGAATACGAAACTTGGCAAAGTATTCATGATGTAAGACAAATCTAAAAAACTGACAGTTGTGAAGCAATGTCTTTGTGGAAATTTTATGTGACAAAAGTCCAGTCAGCTACATGAAATTGTTCTAAACTTTTTAACTTCTTTGATAGGCATTTAGAAGTTGGAGTAGTAAGTAAAGATAAGAATTTATGGATGAACAACTTCTTTATTACAATTAAGAGTGACGTTTCGGTGTTGGTTCTAACACCCTTATCCACTTGCTTGATAACAGTGTTAGGATCTACACCGAAACGTCGTTGTTAATTGTAATAAAGAAGATGTTCATCCATAAATTCTTATCCTTACTTGTTCTAAACTTGTCAAACTCTGCTGATGCATAATGCCTTCTGAGTTTCATGCAGCTGTCAACATCCCACAAAACAAAACAACCATGTGTCTATGATCTACATCTGGTGCATTGGCTACTGCTGCATGGCATGAGGGTTGTTCCTGGACCTGCTGGCTTGTTTCAGCAGTTTATTTTGATAGAGGCACATACTGAATGCCAGCAGACGCCACCAGGCACTGGTCATGAAAGGGAGGTAACTCTAAAGCAGTACCACTTGATGAATCCTTCAGAGAAAGGTTTAAAAACAACAGATGTTATGATTTCAGAGAATTCAAAATTATGGTTGGTCGGTTGGCAAATAAATTGGTATGAAGTATTGTTTCTAATAATGAATATATGAATTAAAGCTGTCTTCATCACATGCAAAAATAAATGAAATTAAACCCCAAAGGAGTAAGAACTACAATGTTGTTTTTTAATGCTTGTACATCTAGAAAGTGAATTAGGTTTAATGGTGTGGTAAACATTTGCCACTTCATAAATATCTAAGATCATTATCATGGATTCAAACTCAGCTTGACTAAGGGACATAATTCTGCACAGCCTATTACAATGCAATAGACCACTGTGCTACATGTGCAACATTCTGGCACTAGCAGACAGAGCCGATGCATATAATGGTTTCCACTTCCAATTCTTCATGTCAAATTATGCACAGTAGTTCTATGTGAATCAATACACATTCTCTGTATATCATAAGTGTATGTAACAAGGTATACACAGAACTAAATGTATATATTAGGCTTAAAAAATAAAAGAACTTGTTCTCAAGCAATGACTTTTGAAAATATAGTGCGGGCAGGTGGCATTTTATTTTTTTTTTGCTTGTTCAAACTAGTATGTAACCAAATAAACAGTTATGTACCATCAACCTGGGAAAGGGCCTCCCAACATAAACAATCATATGAAAGCGTTATTGCCGCCACTACCATAACACCAGATGCACAATAAAGCAGCGCGCATGTAAGGGGAAGTAACTGCGTGCTATATTGGATTGCATTGTTTTGGGGTATTAGGAAATAAAAACGAACCGTGCGGCAGACTTCATGATGATGCAGGCGGTGCCTGAGAACCAAGGCTATGATCTTTTTTAGCCTTAATCTTCACCATATTAAACTGATCCAAAGGTGAAAATACCCTGGGGTTCAATGGACAGAGGGGAGAACAGAAGAATCGATTAAACAGAAGTCTCATCTGTATATTCCTCAGGGAGAATTAATCAGAAGCTAACACTGAAAAACAAATCTCCTGCTTTAAGCATGTTGTGCATTCCCCTCTGTATTCCTGAATCCAGACATACAGATGTACTAGTAAAAATCTTGTCTATACATCAACCCCCAACCCCTACCCCCTCCGAAAACGTCATCAGGAAGAATTTTCTAAGTCATGAGGAGCTGTTATACTAAGTGATGGAAAGGTAAATGGCACTGGAAGTTCCTTCCTTGATACTCCAGTGTAATACACCTCCACTCTATCATGTCTATCAAGATAAATACCCTGGACAACATAGCTTCAAATCATAGAGTCCAGCTTGAAGGACATTTCGTTAAAAATAGCTGTTGGTAAAATACACTGTTATTTCATGATTGAAACAAGTGGTAAAATCACCAGTACTTAACTAGGTGTGTGGCATACCATCTCAAATACAACTGTCAGATGCCTGATAAGGCAAGTACTTCCTTCTCCATTCAAAATAATGTAATACAGCTAAAAGAACATTAGTAACAGTCTATGGATTTGATTAGAGCATACAAAGGGCTTGAAATTAGATTAATGCCAAACTCTTTTTAGGGAGTCATATTGATTGGTCACTGATTTCAAGCTCACCAATGTGAGAAATTCTGTTCTGAATTGGTGATAATATGTGGAGATTAGAGCTGAGTATTGCCTGGTATCTTGCGCTAGATTCGTATCATGATACGGACTGACGATACTACTGGTATTAGGATACACCAAATCAAATAGTAAGAAATGATGAAATTACTGAAATACATCTCTAAAACCCCCTTCTTCATACATTTATGTATTGATATCTCAAAATCATTAACAAAGAAAACCACAAGATCAAAACAGTTTTAAATGAAGGGATTGTTATTAAATATGACAGTTAGTCGGAGCATACTCAGCTAACACGTCGTTGTGTTCTGCCATGCTTACAGGTGGCGCTTTGCTATTTCTGCCATTATGGGAGGTAACTCTATTAGTTCCTGTTCTACTTACAGCGTTTCGCGATCTCACAAACTGATGATTCAAGTATTGTGTGTACCTAAGTATCGATGATATTTAGGTATCGGTGCATTGTTACAGCCCTAATGGAGATGGTGATGTCACTTCCGATAGAAAGCTATGGTGGAGAATGGGTCCAGGGTATTTATCAAACCAGAATGGAAAACCGTTGAGGATATGGAAGTTCACAGATTCCCATTCTACGCATACAGGTCGGATTGTCGGACTGCTGTTGGTTCTATACAGATAGCAGAGGGTATGTTCCGGGCTAGTCCCATCAGTGTCTTCTGACACTCCCGGTGCATCTGGGTGAGTTGAGTGCGCATGTCCTGGATCTGACGTGTCAGTTCCTCTGTCACTCTGGTAATATCTGTGCAACAACTGTCCCCACCTTCACCGGGGGAATGCTGCACATTTGCCACTTTGCCCTGACCCCGGGAGCGTGCTCTACTTGCCAATCTGAACGAAGGTTCTGGTTTGAGTGTCCCAGCTACATCATGTGCAGCAGTTAGCATGAGGTTAGCCTTGTGGACTGATATGTCCATGTTGATTGAGGCTATTAAGTTGTCAAGCTCGTGGTTGCTGATTTCCTGTCTCTGCAAGGAGAACAATATAGCATGTATCATACTTGGGATTACGCTTTCTGGTACTTTTTTCAGTGAAGTCCCAACCATGATTCGAACCCTTAAGTCTCAGAGTTAGAGACCTAATCACCAGCATACAAAGTTAAAACAGTTAAATATACTGCACTAAAAGTGCATAAAGATGAAGCTGAGGGAAAGCATACTGGTCATTGTTTGTAATTCCTATCAATACACAACTGAGAGAATGGAAAACTTGACAATAAATTGTACATTAATATACTTATCCTATCTCACACTATGCATTTTTCATTCTTCTGTTCAATCCAAAGTGGAAACATGCTTAAACAAAGGTTTCCAGTTTCTAAAAACAATTCACCTTAACACACCTTAGCATCACCATGGTCACCTATCAACAATCTGGTCATGTACGCTTTTCATCATGCAATGATATCTGAAAGATGATTGTTCTCACATAGGAAAACAAGTACCTTAGTCTCCCACAGCTGTTCCAGGTACTTGATGCTGCTCTCATAGCTGAGGATGGACTGTACCAGTTGCTGTCTAGCCAGCTGCATCTGCACGGGTCCGTCAACTGGGGCCTGGAGATACACAGCGCCAGACTGAGCCTCACTCTGGTCTCGGTCCTCTGCTGCAGCCTTCACCTTCAGGTCAAGGACACTGTCCTGAAATTAAGAAATTGAGTTGTGTAAACAAATCATGATTGGTTCACCAAGAATGTGCTTGGTATATACATCCACTCTTATGAGTAAAAACAATAAAAACAACACTTTTCTCTTAGAAAGATCAGTGGTCTAGAATGGTTTTCTCTTCACGGCTTACCATCCACTTCCAAAATACGTCTTCATGTTGTCGCCAGTTCATGAGGTTCTGGAGACGTTCATTGTCCTTATCTAGTAGCACCAGCATCTAGACATGATAAAACACAAGCAGGACAGGTAATTAAATTATTTTGATGCAATTCTAACACGGTAAAGGTTTCACAATTTTCAGTTTGATTTAAGAGACCTCTTTGACAAACACATTTAAGTCTACTAGTGAGTGAGTGAGGATGGTTTTATGCTGCTTTTAGCAATATTCAAGCAGTATCATGTTTGGGGACACCAGAAATGGGCTTCACACATTGTACCCATGTGGGGAATCGAAACCCGGTCTTTGGCATGACGAGCGAACACTTTAACCACTTTATTCTACTAACCTGGGCTGGTCTCTTGTCATCAATTTCAGTAGAGTTTTTAGAGTTAAAATGTATGCTGTTATTGTTACTTCGGACTAGTGGCCATCTACAGAATGTAACGTTTGATATCAATAAACAACAGTATTCCCTTACTCGTTTCAGCAGATGTGGGTGTCTTAGCAAATGAACCTCCAATGCTGATAAATTATCACGGTTTTTTCGAAGTGATATCCCTGCTGTGGTATTTTCAATCTGAAATGAAAGTTATATACGAGTACTACTACATAACCTGTATCAACATGATCAACACTGATAATGTGATTTGAACATTATCCCAACAACTGGTTCTCAAGTAACTGACTTTTGAAAATGTGTGCAGAACAAGGCACATTATCGTGAAATCAGAATTGTGTTTTACTTTCAGGAGTATTACTGATGTTCAAGAAAGATTTTGTAGACTTACACATATATTGTGTATATTGATGCAGAAAATGATAAATTGCTTATAGTTCAAGTAGCAGAAAAATATTTATTACTCAAACATCATTTTGTTAATTCATGAATAACAGGATATTATTGTTGATCGTATCCAACACACTCATTCAAAAATAAATGAGTAAATGAAAACAGACCTTGTTTAGAAGCTTAGCTTCATGCTGCTGAGCTGCGTACATTCGCCGTAGGTTGAGTCGTAGTTTACTATTCAGCACTAGCAGCCTCTGTACTCTCTCTCCAGGTGGCACAGCCGAATCTCCTTGGGGAGTAGGACCCAAGTCACAAATAGAATTAGGCCATTCCTACAAACACAAGAAACACATGTCGCATGGTTGTGTAAATGCTTATCCTCTATTTTGATAAAAAAACATACAGGTTAAAAAATATATTAATTAGGTGTGTGTGTTTTACAGGGAGCTAAAGGCCTGCAAGTTTATCATCCCCCGAAATCTGCATGTAGCTTTCAAATAGTGTTCATGCATTGTCCTTGAAAAGATTTCTTTACATGATTTCCCTTACCTTGCACCATTGTGAAATGTTTTCATCCAAGGGAGATGTACACTTGTCCATGAACCTCTCTATCAGTGTCTCTTTACATATCAGCCAGGCCATAGCCAGCAACAGTTCACGACTTCCTCTTGAGGCGTCATTTGGCAAGTGAGCAAAGTCATGGGACATGTAACCACGGCTTTGTAGTTCTCGTTTGACAAGGACACACTTCTCCTCTGTGAAAAAAAAGCGTGTCAATTTGGGCCAAATCTATTGTTATGTGGCAGTGGAAACTGCAAATTTTATGTGTACTGATTGTCAGTGGCAGCAAATGATTGAAGTGCCAGTAAAATGTTGAGTGCTGTCATGGACTCATTGTGAAAGCTGTCAGCGGCAGTGAGTAATTTAGACTTATCCACCCTGTGCAAACATGAACATGACTTGGTTGTTTGAGAAGTTTCAGGATGGGACAATTACTAGAAGGTTGGCTGTACCTATATAGGAGCGACATGAGGATAATTTGAAACCTTTTTCGACCTGACTTGTGTCTTATCAACTTGCCAAGTGAGGATTGGATACCTATTTGTGACACACTGGATTCTTGACAGCTTCCAATACTATGCTAGATTCAAGAATGGAGACAGGCCTGTTTCAAGACATTCCACTGTGACGAAATTCTAGACATTTATGAGTTCACTTATTGCTAAATTGACTCATCGTATATCCTATTGTGATAGTAAACCTAAAAATGCGTGTTTTAATATTATTAATTGATTATTCATTGATTTCTGATTACATAATTCATTTATTTGTGAGTCGACTTCTGGGTTAACCTCTGTGTTTCAATTTGGAAATCACCTTGTAACAGTATATCTTCATAACATGCTCTTATCTGTAAACTTGTGTTTTTAATTCCTCCAGTTTGCATGTGATATGTGTTTTGTTGTAAAAGGTGGGGAGTGAAAATTAAAGTATAAGTTACATCAGGCAATATCATAGATGTATGACATCGGTTTGTCTGTGTGTCCTGAACCAGTGGTTGATAGTACCAGGCAATGACCTATGCTGTGTGGCCTATAGTGACACACAAGTAGTTAGGTCAGTAGGGATGCAAATTAGCACTAACCTGCTAGCCTCGTCCAGTTTTGTTAATCACATGTTAATGATAAAGGTATCCTGCGGGTGTGTAGAATTTTAAACATTTTGGGATGTACCGATTCATGTTATCACTATTCAGGATAGTACACATTTCTGGTTAATTTCCATCCAAGGTCAGATTGTCAGACTACCCTGGTGGTTACCATTCAACATGTTCAAGTATGTATCATATTCAGCATGCTAAGTGGTCATTTTCTTTTCACATAAACTTTCTAGTATAATCTTACAAGCATGGGAAACAACCAAATGAAGTGAGTGTCTCTCGCTTTTGGAAACATGAAAAGGCAAAACTCATAATCATCAACTTCATAACAACATAAAAAAACGATGTCCTCACCAACTGAAAGTTGCCTCTGAGCCTTGACAGCAGAGTCATCAACTACTCCATAATTGCTGAAGTATACCAGCTCAAACAACAGCTTCCACATTACGGGGGTCTGTAATTGATAAAAACATCAACTTGACAATCATGAGTAGTCACTGTAAATGAAACATAAAACTGCTGAACAGTATCAATCAACTTCTTGAAGAGGAAAAATTCTGTTTGATCATCCTAACATGGTTTATATGTGAAGAACTGTACAAATGTCATTTGGGCAGTGCTGGGTTTTACCGGGTACACAATTAGTGCTATGGGGATTTGGGGTGATCAAACTCCTCATGCCAGCTTGTAGAGGTGATATATCCCTCATCCTTACTGACAATTAATTTATTGTAAAGGGCTGCTAAGTTGATAACCCCAAGGATCGTAAAGGGAAATTGAAAAGAAAAGCGAATCCAAGGTCTACATGGTCTAATGAGGGATAGCACTGCGTGTTTTGTTTGTTTGTTTGTTTGAATGTTGTTTAACGCCTAGTTCGTGTTGCCTGTTGGTAAAGTTTTCGTCCATAACCCTGCTTCGAAATGTTTAAATATCATAAACCCTGGTATATGTATTAAAAATCATTTGTGAAGGGTTATGGGTAGGTTGCCCTGACACAGGAAAGCAGGGTTACGCCATTTACCAGTTTACTGTCGGTTATCTTACCGCTTCATATTTGTTGAACTTTGCCAAGCGAAATGTTTCTGCGGTGACAAGTGATACTCCATTTTCGTTCAGTAATGTTGACAGCAGCTCTATGGTCTCCCTTACTTGAGTTGATCCAGGCATTGTTAATTGGGGATGTTTCGAAACGATGACATATTGGCTGTGTGAAGAGACGTTTGTTTACCAGTTATTCCCAACTTCCGGTTGGAGAAGACGCTATCGTGATGTCCTCACGAAATAGTACATGTGTTCGCGATGTACTAATACAATATCTTTCTATGAGTACCTGATGTATTACCTGACTTTTAGTATATCTGAGTGAGCCAAATCGATCAATTAACAGTGGAAATATTGTTTGATGAAAAAAGTCCTACGCGGAACATATCGTTAACACCCCGTTATAGCGCTCACGTGAGCTCGACTTGAGAAGGGAGAAGTATTTATTTGATTTGATGTGGAAAATTGACTTTTGCTACGAAATATATATCAGATAAGCAACCTGCTTAAATATGGCTTGACAAAAGACTTGCTGAGATCTACAGGAAAAAACAGAAACGTTATTTAACGTTGGTTATTACAGGTAACAATATGACATTACCTCTTCAGAACTAATATTCTGACAAAAATAATATATATATTACAAAATAATATGTATAACAATAACAATTATATAACAACTGAGATGATAAATGAACATGAAAGCTAAAACATATTTACAGTAGAAATCAGAGGGGAGAATCATGTATTATATATTACATTAACCACAGGACCATGTAACAATAAAAATATAAAAAAGCCGCAAAAAAATTATTGACGAGGCCTTTGTCTATGATTATTTTGCGACTTTTTTTATATTTTTATTGTTACATGGTCCTGTGCATTAACACATGGAGCATTTGCATATGGGGCGTGACGAGGTCCGAAGAAGCCAGCAGAAATCTCTTTATGGTCCAGCTTTTCTGAAATCATTAGGCAGGCAATTCCAGATTATGGTGGCCTCACAAGCAAAATAATTTCGCCCGAACTTAGAAGCTGTTACCCGGTGAATTAGATTAACATTTAGTCTCTGAAATCTTATATTACATAATATCCTTCTTGACTCCAAAATAAAATAAAAATCCCTTTGCTGATTTCATAACAACATTTAGTCTCTGAAATCTTATATTACACAATGTCCTTAACTCTAAAAATAAACAAAAAATTCCCTATGCTAATTTCATAGAGCTAGCTAGAGCTGGCTAGACTTGCTTCTGTATGCGTTTCTAGATTATTTTTTTATATAAAATAAATATATTCCAGTCATGGGGCAGGACTACCGGTGAATCATCGCTGTACGTTCCTGCCTGAGGGAACAGGTCGGTTGTTTTAAACTTTAAATATGAATACACAATGGCATTTTGAAAGTTTGTTTATTTGTTGTTTAACACCGCACTCAACAATATTACAGCTATATACGGTGGTCTGTAAATAATCGAGTCTGGACCAGACAATCCAGTGATTGACATCATTGAGCATCGATCCACGCAATTGGGATTGATGACATGCATCAACCAATTCAGCGAACCTGACCACCGATCCCGTTAGTCGCCTCTTACGACATGCATAGTCGCCTTTTAGGGCAAGTATGGGTTGCCGAAGACCTATTCTACCCCGGATCTTCACGGGTCTATTTAGAAAGTGGTCAAATGTAACACATGTTATACTTGGGATAACACTTTCTTAGTTGAACACAAATTCTATTACTTTTTGGGGGGTTAAGACTCATCCGAGATTCGAACCCACGCTTCTCTGAGTAAGGCACGTAATCGCCAGAACACAAACCAGCGACCTAACCTGCTCAGCCATGGAGGCTCCCAAAAAATGGAAGTCCGTCAACAGGTTGTCTAGATCACGTACTTTATGGAAAGGGTTTGTGACTATACTTAATGTATCTGTATGTGATATGGACGGCGTAGTTGGGGTCTTGCTGGGCGGGTGATTTGTGGTGTTCAGCAACAGCACCAGCATACTGGTTCAGTTAAAATCGCCAAGCAGCCATACATACATATTGTTTCTCTACAGATCTCAGCTGGGTGTACTTTTTCTAAATCTCAGTAAAGACTAAATATAATTTTAGGGATTCAGATCCCCATATTCAGCATTTATAGGTTAATAGTGCATGGTGCAGTTGTTTGAAATGATGTAGAAAAAGCCATGGTGGATTTTGAGGATTTTATATTGGTGTCTGATACCGTTTTGACCAAATAAGTACCCTGATCTTTGGTGGTGAATATAGCGGTACATGTTATGGGTGGACTTTATCGTCCAAAATTCTTTTGCCCCAATTCCAGCCCCCTCCAAATCGAAAATAACGCATTTCTCCGCTTTAGTACTTTAGACAAGACCTAGAACGAACACGTGTTACCAGTGTCGAACACTTAGGAGGTGAGGTGAAGTGAAATTAGATATAAGTTCTTCATTACAAACTACCTCTGATATATTTTGCTTTCATCGAGAGTCCCCGTCGAGTAGTACTGAAGAGGTAATTCTGAAGGGGGATCCCAGTAGGGACCGTACCCAGTGTCTCGTTGAAGGCTTAATGAATAGTGTGAGGGGGTGGATATTCGTAGATGGCGCCGTGAGGCTGCAAGTGTAGTATACCCATTTGCTGTCTGAACTACATGTGCAACATCTTGGTTTTGGATGTTTACGTGAGCAAGTCATCAGATAAAAGTTCTTCACTTTTCACTACCTGTGATATATTTTGCTTTCAACAAAAAGTCCCCGTCGACCCCATTCATTGAACACATAGCTAGCACCACGTTTGACCAAATGTCTGACCTGGGGGCATTGTATTTTTGTGTTACCTTATTTGGATTAAGAAAGAAAATGCCCGCTTATCCACGTTTAACAAACGTGTTCGAATCCAAAATTCACCTGTAGGTTATCAGTAAGATTCTTGTGATCGTGGTTTACATGAAAGTGGGAGAATGCGTGCTGCATAAGAACATGAAATGATAGTATCTCAGAAACATTTACATAGTCATCTTGACAGTTCCAATCCATAACGCAAAATATATCACAGGTAGTTTGTAGTTGAGCACTTGTGTCAAGATGGTGCATGTAGTTAGGTCAGTCGTAACAATCAGTCAGATCGCAATCGTCAGGTCGTGTATAAGACTGTTTGCATCAGAACAGACGTTTTTCTTGTCATCAGATTAAATATAAGAAGACAATGAAATAAATATTATGTATTTATTTGTATTTACACAATGTCAACATGACGAGATGGGTCGCTCTAACATACATAGCAACTACAGATACCAGACTCAGGTATTATGACATCGAAAAAAGCACTTTGTATGACCGGGGTATACCTGGAATAAGTCAATAAACACGTCTAATAGCTGGAGCCAATTTGAGGGAAATGAACTGAAGGATAGTCGAAGGGGGAATAACTCTGGTAAGGGTAGGTTCCGGTTGCCAAGGACTGCCAGGACGGACCAGTAGGTTGTGCTGCCCATTGATAGGCCTCCTGGTATGACACCTCGGGGGTCGGGTAGTGCTGAAGGGGGGTCCGTGTGGGTTCTGTACCAGGCGTGTCGTTGAAAGCTCCATCGTGAATAGTGTAAGGGGATGGATACGTAGATGACGTCGTAAGGCTGCAGGTGTAGTCTGACGTAGGTGGGTAGCTGGGTTCGGCGCTTGGCAGGTAGTGGAGGCTGGAAAGAAGAACGGTTGGTAAACATTGGTTTGATTGTGTCCGTAGATACATTTCTGACAATCATATTAGAGTAGGTAAACCCATTATTCAAGCTGTATCACAGCCTTAGTCTGTCTTACAGACCCTGATACATTTATATCAACTACAGCCCATGCTAGTCTATAATGTTTGACAAGTCTAGATTACTGCAGTATCAGTATCTGAAAATGAAGAGAATCACTGGGCTCCCTTTTTATTAGATTTTTGAACAGATAACTGAACAACTGTTTTTTTCTGTACAATATGTTCATTTCAGAGACTATATGTTAGTCTATCACAGCCTGTATATTTGCATCATTTGACAGCATGTGCAAAATTCGGTATACAACAAAATCGTCCAGGCTAAATGCACCAAATCCTTATTTTTAGTCGTCTCCTGAGCTTGGGTGCCAAAGAATTTATATTATTTGGAATGAAGAGCTTGAGACTCACTTTGACCTGGCCTTGTCAGCAGCGTCGGTACACGTGGAAGGAGCGCGCGGAGTGAGCACATGACACCGTTCCTTCTGGGAACTGTCACGTGACTGGATTGTACCGCCATGATACAACTGTTTCCTCATCCAGGCCACGTGGCCATCCTTAGACTGCCGTTTAAACTTGGAGCGACGGTTCTGGAACCAGATCTGTGGAAAATAATAAACATCATATATACACATAGTGGCACACGTATTGTTTCTAGAAATACAAAATATGGTAACTGACATGATTGTTATAATTAAATAATACTATAAATAAATATAATTAAATTATCAAAATTATGAAAATTATATATCAGCTCATACATTATGAAGAATCAGCTTACCGATAGTCTCTCTACGTCAATGTTGATGGTGTTGGAGAGATCCTCCAAGATGGAGCTGTCAGGATACTGAGAGGACAGGAACACCTTCTCCAGTTGCCTCAACTGTGAAGGAAAATATCGTTGTAATTAAATTAAATTCTTGACATTGCTGTAAACCATACTCATAATTTGCAATCACGCATAAGTAATAGTAGGAATTCTGATGGGGATTTTTTGTGCAGCCTATTTGTGTACTCACCTGAACGGCAGAGTACTTGATTCTGTTCCTGACCGGAAGTACCCTTTTGCTGACGTCACTCTTGCCGGGCTTGATCTCTGGACTCTTCACCTTCATACTGAATTGAAGAAATGAAAATACTGTACTTGTTATGTTATATATTGTAGGGGTGTACACATGCAGTGGTATGAGGAATGCTACCTGGAAGATACACCTCCTCTCACATATATACATTCCGTAACCCCTGAAGATCGGGGTTAGATTTTGTCTTCAGCAGCCCATGCTTGTAAGAGGCGACTGACGGGATCGGTGACTTGGTTGATGCATGTCACCGTATCCCAACTGCATAGATCGATGTTCATGATCATATAGCTGGAATATTGCTGAGTGCGGATTTAAACAAACATACATTTACATTCTGTAAGCACACCGCAGGTTTTTTATTTTGGTAACCTTTTAATATAGAAGGGCATATGCAATGCATCCAAACCAAACACATTTTAGCTGACCCGTGAAGATCCGGGGTAGAATAGGTCTTCAGCAACCCATGCTTGCCGTAAAAGGCGACTTTGGTTGTCGTAGGAGGGTAACAGGATCGGGTGGTCAGACTCGCTAAATTGGTTGATGCATGTCATCCGTATCCCAATTGCGTGGATCGTTGCTCATGATATCAATCACTGGATTTGTTTGGTCCAGATTATTTACAGACCGCCGTATATAGCTGGAATATTGCTGAGTGCGGCGTTAAACAAAAGACAAACACATTCAGCTGTATTTTCATGCAATATAAACATGCTCCTTGACCTGGCAACTTACTTGTATGTTTGGATAGTTGGCGTGAGGAACTGTTTAAATCTATAGACGCTGCAGACAACTTGAACTGTGTTAACGAAATAAGATATCGGAAATGAAGCTGTAATTTCGGAACGTGGGAGTTTTATACGTATTTCTGGCTGTCGGAACTCTTCTAACACCTATCGAAAAACAACACATTGAGATCATGTTGTTGTAAGAATCAGATCTCTTTCACAAGAGCAGGTACGACTCGCCGAGGAGAGCTTCTTGCGAAACCATTATTGTTTTTACAGCAATGAGAATGTTAATTGTTTTCTCAATCAATACAGCAGCATCCTACTCCCCTTGTGCACGGGTAGGCGCACATCCAAGACTTGGCTACCGTCTCCAGCGTCCATCCTCATTTACCTGTCAAAACGTTACACATACATCAAAGAGGCCGCCAAACTTAGCGCACCTGAGCGTGTAATTGTTTCTTTAACAAACACATAATCAGCAGGTTGGACAGCGGGAGAAGCCAACATAACATAGTGATAGGATTAAAAATGTACATACCCGTCATGCCAAAAAAACACTGAAAGAGACAGTGTGTGTATTTGTCTCTGTTTGAAACAAATATGGTAGTCACACTATTTCTCTTTTTGCTTTCAGACCCTTAGCAACAGATGTTGCCCCTATAAAGTAGAGATAGCTTTATGGATAACAGCTTCTTTATTTACTGTAAAGGAAGTTGTTATCGATAAAATTATCTCTACTTTTTCATCCGTCAACTTCCAAGTAATGCCTATAGGTTTGTTCGCTCGACTGATAATATATAAATAACGAAACATTTTTGTGCTTCAATCCAGTTATTATCTCCCAAATGCACGACACTGGTACTAATTAAGAACCACAGCGTTTCCACGAGTAAGGCAATCAAACATGGATACATATAAGAAAATGTGTAGCCAGAAGATGGCAAATATTAGGTATAGTTCTTACTGTTATTGTTGATTGCAGCTTTGTTATTAAAAAATATCAGTCTTTCAAACTAAGTTTTGTTTTATACAGCATCAACTTTTTTTTTTGTTATGCGCCGAGGTAAGGGCGTCCTTATTATTTATTTACTTATATATTTTCGAAAGAAAAAAATACTATTTAAATCCTGAATTATCCGCCGTCCGTCTCTATTTGTATGACGCTTCTTGAAAAATAATGTAAGTAGCAAATTTCACAATGGTTTGAAAACCACGGTCGTATATATTCTCAACAGCATATGTTCTGAAAGTGAACTGTTGAAACTTGGAATGAAAGCAACTCTTCGTGACTTATATAATGCGATATTGTGACAAACACGCTGTCGGAACGCGAGCGGGCCGCCAGCAATAAGCCACTGGTTCTCTGTCGACTTTAGCCACCAACGTACGGAAGTTGTGTTATCTGGATAGGATTCGCCTCCACCATCGTTCATATATAAAGCGGGGAGCTATACTGATGTTTGAGAAAGTAACATGAAAACCTGCGCAAATTTGTCATTTCAATCCTCATAAATATATACGCAACCGGTAGGGTAGCCAAAACGTACCGGGTAATTACCACTATTAAAAATAAACACCAATGCGTGCTTCGACCTACTGTGGTATTTCAAGAAGATTTAAGACATTCTGATTCAGAATGGGATCAGAATCCTCAAGTTTAATCAATGCATAGATTTATTTTTTTCACATTGCGTTTAAATTTCATTTTTCGGGTTTAGGTTGCTCTCAGTATGTTTTAATTGTCAAATATTTGGTATAGCTCGTCAAAGCTTTGAAAAGGTATTCTACAAATAAGGATATTTCTTTTCCTTTTTTTCTTTTTTCGACCACCGTCGTATACATTACTCGCAATCATAAAAAAAATATATATTGTGACAACAAAGTTTTGATCTTATGCAATATGGGTTTATGCCCAAATGGTTTTGGGTAAATCGGTAAATGTATGATGTTTTACTGTGCCAGACTGTCCTGCAGTGTCTGAAGTTTGCATGTTGTCCCTGGAGAGAGCTTGTACAAGGGACGTAACTCCGTTTGTAATTACCAATTAGCTGGTTCCACAATTCCTCTCCACGGTGCGTTTAAATTTCGGTTTTCGGGTTCATCAACACGACATATGTTTGATATGTTTTATGTTCATTCTTCTAATATAGGTCGTCAAAGCCTAGATATTCTTTAATAGGGAATCTTCTTTAAACCAGCTTTTTATTTTCCGTCTGTCACCGTCAGAGCTTCCGTTAGTTGGTCTTTGTTTGATGGACGGCTGGTATCTTTTGATGTGAATGGCTTCCGTTAGTTGGTCTTTGTTTGATGGACGGCTGGTATCTTTTGATGTGAATGGCTTCCGTTAGTTGGTCTTTGTTTGATGGACGGCTGGTATCTTTTGATGTGAATAGCTTCCGTTAGTTGGTCTTTGTTTGATGGACGGCTGGTATCTTTTGATGTGAATGGCTTCCGTTAGTTGGTCTTTGTTTGGTGGACGGCTGGTATCTTTTGATGTGAATGACTTCCGTTAGTTGGTCTTTGTTTGATGGACGGCTGGTCTCTTTTGATGTGAATGACTTCCGTTAGTTGGTCTTTGTTTGATGGACGGCTGGTCTCTTTTGATGTGAATGACTTCCGTTAGTTGGTCTTTGTTTGATGGACGGCTGGTGTCTTTTGGTGTGAATAGCTTCCGTTAGTTGCTCTCTTTTAATGGACGGCTAATATCTTTTGATGTGAATAGCTTCCGTTAGTTGGTCTTTGTTTGATGAACGCCTGGTATCTTTTGATGTGAATAACTTCCGTTAGTTGGTCTTTGTGTGATGGACGGCTGATATCTCTTGATGAGGATAGCTTCCGTTAGTTGGTCTTTGTGTGATGGACGGCTGGTATCTTTTGATGTGAATGGCTTCCGTAAGTTGGTCTTTGTTTGATGGACGGCTGTTATTTTTTTATGCGAATGGCTTCCGTTTGTTTCAGGATCATGTTGACTTAGAATTTAGAGGCAAAGACACCGTATCTGGTGGCTTGATGTTGTTGTATGTGATCTGGACGGAGGAACTGGAGTCTTGTTGGACGGGTGATGTGGTGTTCAGCAACAACATCAACATATTATTTCACTCAAAAACGCAAAGCAGCGATACGTATTGTTTCTCCATAGATCGTTGGCTTTATGTCCTCTTTTCTAAGCCTCGAAATAAATCCAGTGATTTTTGGGATTTGTTTATAGTTGTTAGGGATTCAGCTCCGTTGAGATGCGATAGTTGGAATTGTAAATCAGTTGGTAAACACAAAGCGTATACTAATGTAGAAAAGTGTCATGATCATATTTGTTTGGTATAATTTTTGGAAAAAGACAAAACGACCTTGATTACAGAACTAATGCCGAGACAGTTGCAAGATGTAAGTGAAGAGCATGGGTGGGACAGGTTCACCATGTCTGACAACGTTTTCACAAATAAAGTTTCCTTATCTTTGGTCACTGGGCGACAAACGTGGTACATGTTATGGAAGGACTTAAACAGTTGACCATCGACATTACTATCGCCACGAATCCAGACTCCCTTTAGTGTTGAAAAGTCTGATCAGTATCGAACACTTTTGAGAAGTCGAAAACATGGAAGTGATTATTGAGAAGTGATAGCACTTAATTTACGATATCCAGCATGGTCTTCATTGACCGTAACTGAGTAGCTTCAAAGTGTTATTTGATGCCAAATGTATCATTCAAGCCTTGAAAACATAGCTACATTCATTGTTTTAGTTCTTACCTATATACGATGGAACATATGTAACCACAATACTCTAAAATATGTGAGCTGAGCAAAGCAGGATATCTGTCGCAGTTGCAACACACATGTTTCGAAGAAGGTGAGGATCTATATCTGTGAGGGTAGCTATGCTAAAAAATGATTTATACAATGATTTATATTTCATATCACACAACCTAAAGAATGATATAGCAAGTGTTACTTCATTTGGACCAAGAAAGATACCCATCAATTCATGCTTAACAACCCCTACATCATTTCATGCACATTTCATTGAGATTTCACATGTGACGTATGTTGTGACTTGGTTTGAGGATGTTACCTTCACAAGTGGTATTTTTGACAATTGACAATAAATGAATGACTGAGAATTGGATTTCTATATCTCAGCAAAGCAGGATATCTTTCGCAGTTGCAACACACGTTTCCATGGAGGTTAGCCCAGAAATGGGCTTCACACAATGTGGGCAATCGAACCCGGGTCTTCAGTGTGATGTGCGAACGTTTTAACCACGAGGCTACTCCATCGCCCCTATATCTGTGAGGCTAGCTTAGC